CCAATTTCTCCTGGGAACGTCGTCCAACGAGAAACAGGAGACAATGGTTATGCAAAATTTTAGGCAGGAACACAAGCCCGGGGGGGAGGGTTGTACTCCGGATTTCGGGTGACGGGAATGATGGAAGGATTTTTGGGTTTGAAATTTTCTATTCCGGTTTTTTTTTTTTTGGTAGGAAAATTTGGGTGGCTTGATTTAAGTAGGGATTTTTGGGGTATTCAAAACAATCTGAAGATTCGTGCCTGTGAATGATAACTTCAGATTTTGCCGAAGAAACAACCGCACAAACATTCAATTTCTAATGTTTTTAGTTTTCGTGTTATTCCATTTAATGCTTTCTGGAAATTCCAAAGGCTCGGAAATTCGGCATGGGATTTTTTGTGGGTTAATTTTTGGTGCAGGGATTCTTTTGGGTTTTAATTTTTGCCCCCATTCGATCTCCCGTCACTTGAAATACGGAGTACCTCCCTCCCCCCCCCCCCAACCCGGGTAGGTAAGCAAGGTGTATTATGGTCTACGTGAAAACAGTGAATGGTAACGGCATTCCAAGAACAAGTCAAGATGGAGAACGCTTACCACAAACTAGACGAGAGGACGCTTCAAGCTTTACAAGACATAGCCACTAAACTACGGATTCACAGCATAGAATCTACGAATGCAGCTGGTTCAGGGTATGTATTTAATTAAAACATGTGTATAGTGGAACCTCGACTTAACGACCCTCAAAGTACCCATCTGGTACTTATCTGAATATTAACGAAGTTTTCGGTATAACAAACGGTAGTATTCTTCGCGCCAGTAAAAGTCAAATATATGTAGAAAGCCCCTCGATAATTATAAAACGAAAGCTCGTCATAGTAAACGTATTTTGCCAGTTCCTTGGCCCTTAGTTATACCGAGCTTCTACTGTAGAACATTTGCCCAATCAAATTCAACATCGCAAGCGTGCTTCATACTCCCATTGAGCACGTCGTGTTGCTATGGCGCGTGAAAATCATTTCTGGCAAGTTTTTCGCTCAAAAATGTTTTTTTGGTGCGTTGATAGTTTTCCATGTCAATATGGATTCTTTTTGAATGTTATCTAATCTTAAGCGACTTCTTATGTAAACTTTCGCTATGGAAATTTCGACTAAGGAGCGACTTCGTTTCAACCGCATTTACGACGACCATTGTTAAGTTCGATGTCTGAATCAACCGTCGAACTAGTGTCATTAGACATGGGCACTTAACGACGATTTCCTCTTAAATGTATTGAAAACACTTTTTAAGCTGCCCAGGGTATTTTTAGATCATAACAAATGTATTCTAAGCGGCGCTCATAAGGCCCAGTTCAGACGTCGTGCTTCTGCCGTGCCGAACTAAATTCAGGAATTAAGTTCGACAAAAGCACGGCGTCTGAATCAAACTTTTGAATTAAGTTCGGCAAGCAATTAAGTTCGACAAGCGCTGCCGTGCTATACGGCTCCGGCACGGCAGCGATTCAAACGTCGTGCTTCTGCCGCGCTAAACAAAATTCATAAATTATATTAATGTATTTTGGCGAGATTGCGTTCCCACGGGGAGTTGGGAGAAGAATTGTTACCGAGGCATCAGTAAATCCTGAATTTGGTTCGACTCTGGCACGGCGTCTGAATCAAAGTTGTCTTCCTGCCGTGCCACAGTCGAACCAAATTACAATTAAGTTTGGCACGGCAGAAGCACGACGTCTGAACTGGGCCTAAGTGTCTGTTCGATCATCTTAGGGCAACTTGAATCTCTACAAACTACAAGGGCTTCAGTATTATTTTCCCGAAAATTTTAGATGCAATTTAAAGTTTTATGAAAGTAATTTTTTTTCTTTTTCCGCTCTTTATCGCACTTTGGAATCGGTCATTGTAAAACGCAGACTGCGGATTATTGTTTTAACATAACCTTGCAAATGAGAACTTGACAACAACAGCCCCATTGTTTTTTAACCCTAAAAACAATTGTCCGCAGTCAGTCCGTCGTCTTCATTTTACACTGCTCCTTTTGGAATCCGAATATTTTGCGTTTCCTTTTTCTACGAAAAATGGCTTATATAACTCGGGGAGTGAAAAGCAAAACTTCAGAAAACCCTAGGGAATTTATTGGATAAGCTTCGAAAATTGTACATCATCATTGAACGGTCATCTCTAGAAATTTTTAGCCATCCTCATGGAAAATTCTAGTCAATATTTGTTTCTCCGAAGAGATATCTTAGAGAAAACAGACCAAACTATAGCTCTTTACACAGAAGTCTCCTTTTGGTTTCGAAGTTTAAGTGCGCGATCCCTATAGAAAATATGCGGGAATTTAGATCAGATGGTGCTTGGAACGTTTCTTTTTGCGCGCAGTTTGCATACAGGCTTACGAAGTGGCCAAAGTGGCCGGGCCAAGGAACCATTGGCCAGACCAGGGACCTTCAAACGAAGCAGTCATTTCTTATGATGCAGGAATTTCGGCAAAGCTCAGAAGCTGTCGGTTTGTCACAAGTTAGTTAAATGTTACGGAAACCTACAGGACAAATTTCAGCTCACTTCTCTTCTACTAACTGAGAAATACTGAGCCGCTTACGATACTACATCAAGTTGCTGGAGTTGCTCTTGGCTACCCCTTGAGGACCTCTTAGGCTTCTGTCGTGCTCTTTAAACTTCCCGCGTGCTTCATATCTGGACATATGCACCCTGAATCATGAATCAGTTGTTACATCTGCTTTATTAAGTTAAAATCATTGCATTCTAAAGACTTGAGTTCATTTTGCAGGCATCCAACTTCGTGTTGCTCTATTGCGGAAATCTTGTCAGTTTTATTTTTTCACACCATGCGCTATAAAGGTGAGTTGAAATCATAAATATTCTTACTGAATGCATGACGCGAAAACTTCACGATTTCTCCTCGCGCTCTCTGTAAAAACTAACCAAAGAAGTTAACCCGCGCCTGGCACGCAAGCTAGCGTCCCAACGTCCCCGTCCTCATGTTCCAGTCCTATTTTTAAGCTGGATCTATGCGTGTCAGGTATCTTCTATTTTTGACCACACCATACTACTGTACCTTTCCCTACTGGGGCCTCTAAAGTCTTAGCCTCCCCGCAGACGTCCTTTGGGGTTCGAGACAAACGAACCCCAAAGGACATCTGAGGGGAGGCTACTAAAGTCTCAGTGAGTACAAAAGGACAGTGGTTTTAATTCATTAATTGAGGCTTTGGGGGAGCTTGATCTGTTGTTGGATTGGATTCAGTGTTGAATGTCAAACATAGAACAATTTCAATCTAAGTCAGCAGTCGATTGATTTGGCGGTACACTTTTAATTCTTCTGTGTAAAGAGTGACCCATGTTTTCTTATTCAGGAAAAGCTTAGCCCGTTCCAGGCTCTCAGATAATAGGAATGACGCGTAAGTGAAAGACACGCGAATATATGAGCACGTGATCTGGGAAAAGGGGCGTGGCGGGAAAAATGGAAGTGAGACAACCTTCCTCTCCCCAGTTTCTTCCCGTATTATTTTCCTGTTCGTGCTTCCTAAATTCCGTGGACTCGACTATCTCGGAGCCTGGAACATGGCTAGGGAAAGGTTGAATAATAGACTCACTGTTTCGATGTTTTCCTTCTAGTTTCTGAACCTAGAGATCTTTCAAGTGACCGATTCGTTTTATCAAAGGTAAGTTAATTTTGCGAATAGAGTTAATAATAAAAAGTTTTTACAGGGGAAAGAAAAGAAAAAAATTTAACAGGTTTCAAGTATTACAAAGGATACCAGGAGATGAATAATTTTACACTACACAGATCATTACAGCCAGAGAATGTTAAACATTTGTCTAGAACGCCTGGATTTTTTTATAGCCATGGCATGGCTTACTAGTTTCCTTCGCATAAACGCTTGATGCATATGTTTAATTATTTAACTGCTCCCAGGATAAATATTATCTCAGTGTTTGTGTGAGGAAAAAAAATATTAAGTTCCGAACAACGATTCTGTAGTTTAAAAATCGCGGAGCTTCTTAACGTAAAACAAATTATCATCATCTAGTATCTAATAGTCAAAATAGTCATTCTTTGTTCAAGCAAACGAAGCTGATTCAGCAGGTAGTGAGTTGCAGTCATCCGTTTCCTTTTCTTTTACGTCTACCGTCTAAAATGACGTTTAACCACAAGCGCCCCAGACACTACGGGACTTCGTTGGACTTCGAATTTATAAGGGAATGAGAAATGCCGTTTTTTTTTCGCTATTCGCTGAGAATGGGACAATTTTTTTGCAAAAGATTGTATTTAATACACTGCTGCTGCGATGTAAAGGTGTTCACTGGAACCGGATAAAAATAACTCCCTCCTCGCTGCCACGGCACCGCGACATGTACATGTAAATGAGTTGATCCAATGGATACGCGTTTTTTTGCGGTTGTGTTGTTCAATTGTCTCCATTCACTAAAATTTTGCATGGCCATTGTTTCCAGTTTCTCCTGGGAACGTCGTCCAATGAGAAATAGGAGACAATGGTTATGCAAAATTTTAGGCAGGAAAACAAGCCCGGGGGGGGAGGGTTGTACTCCGGATTTCAGGTGACGGGAATGATGGAAGGATTTTCGGGTTTGAAATTTTCTATTCCGGTATTTTTTTGGTGGTAGGAAAATTTGGGTGGCTTGATTTAAGTAGGGATTTTTTGGGTATTCAAAACAATCTGAAGATTCGTGCTTGCGAATGATAACTTCAGATTTTGCCGAAGAAACAACGGCACAAACATTCAATTTCTAATGTTTTTAGTTTTCGTGTTATATCATTTAATGCCTTCTGGAAATTCTAAAGGCTAGGAAATTCGGCATGGGATTTTTTGTGGGTTAATTGTTTGTGCAGAGATTCTTTTGGGTTTTATTTTTGCCCCCATTCGATCTCCCGTCACTTGAAATCCGGAGTACCTCCCCCCCCCCTCGACCCGGCTAGGTAAACAAGGTGCATTATGGTCTGCGTGAAAACAGTGTGTGGTAACGGCATTGCAGGAACAAGTCAAAATGGAGAACGCTTACCACAAACTAGACGAGAGGACGCTTCAAGCTTTACAAGACATAGCCACTAAACTACGGATTCACAGCATAGAATCTACGAATGCAGCTGGTTCAGGGTATGTATTTAATTAAAACATGTGTATAGTGGAACCTCGACTTAACGACCCTCAAAGTACCTATCTGGTACTTATCTGAATATTAACGAAGTTTTCGGTATAACAAACGGTAGTATTCTTCGCGCCAGTAAAAGTCAAATATATGTAGAAAGCCCCTCGATAATTATAAAACGAAAGCTCGTCATAGTAAACGTATTTTGCCAGTTCCTTGGCCCTTAGTTATACCGAGCTTCTACTGTAGAACATTTGCCCAATCAAATTCAACATCGCAAGCGTGCTTCATACTCCCATTGAGCACGTCGTGTTGCTATGGCGCGTGAAAATCATTTCTGGCAAGTTTTTCGCTCAAAAATGTTTTTTTGGTGCGTTGATAGTTTTCCATGTCAATATGGATTCTTTTTGAATGTTATCTAATCTTAAGCGACTTCTCATGTAAACTTTCGCTATGGAAATTTCGACTAAGGAGCGACTTCGTTTCAACCGCATTTACGACGACCATTGTTAAGTTCGATGTCTGAATCAACCGTCGAACTAGTGTCATTAGACATGGGCACTTAACGACGATTTCCTCTTAAATGTATTGAAAACACTTTTTAAGCTGCCCAGGGTATTTTTAGATCATAACAAATGTATTCTAAGCGGCGCTCATAAGGCCCAGTTCAGACGTCGTGCTTCTGCCGTGCCGAACTAAATTCAGGAATTAAGTTCGACAAAAGCACGGCGTCTGAATCAAACTTTTGAATTAAGTTCGGCAAGCAATTAAGTTCGACAAGCGCTGCCGTGCTATACGGCTCCGGCACGGCAGCGATTCAAACGTCGTGCTTCTGCCGCGCTAAACAAAATTCATAAATTATATTAATGTATTTTGGCGAGATTGCGTTCCCACGGGGAGTTGGGAGAAGAATTGTTACCGAGGCATCAGTAAATCCTGAATTTGGTTCGACTCTGGCACGGCGTCTGAATCAAAGTTGTCTTCCTGCCGTGCCACAGTCGAACCAAATTACAATTAAGTTTGGCACGGCAGAAGCACGACGTCTGAACTGGGCCTAAGTGTCTGTTCGATCATCTTAGGGCAACTTGAATCTCTACAAACTACAAGGGCTTCAGTATTATTTTCCCGAAAATTTTAGATGCAATTTAAAGTTTTATGAAAGTAATTTTTTTTCTTTTTCCGCTCTTTATCGCACTTTGGAATCGGTCATTGTAAAACGCAGACTGCGGATTATTGTTTTAACATAACCTTGCAAATGAGAACTTGACAACAACAGCCCCATTGTTTCTAAACCCTAAAAACAATTGTCCGCAGTCAGTCCGTCGTCTTCATTTTACACTGCTCCTTTTGGAATCCGAATATTTTGCGTTTCCTTTTTCTACGAAAAATGGCTTATATAACTCGGGGAGTGAAAAGCAAAACTTCAGAAAACCCTAGGGAATTTATTGGATAAGCTTCGAAAATTGTACATCATCATTGAACGGTCATCTCTAGAAATTTTTAGCCACCCTCATAGAAAATTCTAGTCAATATTTGTTTCTCCGAACAGATATCTTAGAGAAAACAGACCAAACTATAGCTCTTTACACAGAAGTCTCCTTTTGGTTTCGAAGTTTAAGTGCGCGATCCCTATAGAAAATATGCGGGAATTTAGATCAGATGGTGCTTGGAACGTTTCTTTTTGCGCGCAGTTTGCATACAGGCTTACGAAGTGGCCAAAGTGGCCGGGCCAAGGAACCATTGGCCAGACCAGGGACCTTCAAACGAAGCAGTCATTTCTTATGATGCAGGAATTTCGGCAAAGCTCAGAAGCTGTCGGTTTGTCACAAGTTAGTTAAATGTTACGGAAACCTACAGGACAAATTTCAGCTCACTTCTCTTCTACTAACTGAGAAATACTGAGCCGCTTACGATACTACATCAAGTTGCTGGAGTTGCTCTTGGCTACCCCTTGAGGACCTCTTAGGCTTCTGTCGTGCTCTTTAAACTTCCCGCGTGCTTCATATCTGGACATATGCACCCTGAATCATGAATCAGTTGTTACATCTGCTTTATTAAGTTAAAATCATTGCATTCTAAAGACTTGAGTTCATTTTGCAGGCATCCAACTTCGTGTTGCTCTATTGCGGAAATCTTGTCAGTTTTATTTTTTCACACCATGCGCTATAAAGGTGAGATGAAATCATAAATATTCTTACTGAATGCATGACGTGAAAACTTCACGATTTCTCCTCACGCTCTCTGTAAAAACTAACCAAAGAAGTTAACCCCGCGCCTAGCACGCAAGCTAGCGTCCCAACGTCCCCGTCCTCATGTTCCAGTCCTATTTTTAAGCTGGATCTATGCGTGTCAGGTATCTTCTATTTTTGACCACACCATACTACTGTACCTTTCCCTATTGGGGCCTCTAAAGTCTTAGCCTCCCCGCAGACGTCCTTTGGGGTTCGTGACAAACGAACCCCAAAGGACATCTGCGGGGAGGCTACTAAAGTCTCAGTGAGTACAAAAGGACAGTGGTTTTAATTCATTAATTGAGGCTTTGGGGGAGCTTGATCTGTTGTTGGATTGAATTCAGTGTTGAATGTCAAACATAGAACAATTTCAATCTACGTCAGCAGTCGATTGATTTGGCGGTACACTTCTAATTCTTCTGTGTAAAGAGTGACCCATGTTTTCTTATTCAGGAAAAGCTTAGCCCGTTCCAGGCTCTCAGATAATAGGAATGACGCGTAAGTGAAAGACACGCGAATATATGAGCACGTGATCTGGGAAAAGGGGCGTGGCGGGAAAAATGGAAGTGAGACAACCTTCCTCTCCCCAGTTTCTTCCCGTATTATTTTCCTGTTCGTGCTTCCTAAATTCCGTGGACTCGACTATCTCGGAGCCTGGAACATGGCTAGGGAAAGGTTGAATAATAGACTCACTGTTTCGATGTTTTCCTTCTAGTTTCTGAACCTAGAGATCTTTCAAGTGACCGATTCGTTTTATCAAAGGTAAGTTAATTTTGCGAATAGAGTTAATAATTTTTTTGGAAAAGCATAATTTTCTAAAGAATGGAGCGTCATTACAACTAAACCTTTTAGTACTGAAATATGAAATTTTAGGAGACCTCTTACACCTAGACAGCCTCCCACGCAGACGTTCTTAGGGGTTCGTCACGCGTTCCTGCCCCACGCAGGAACGCGTGACGAACCTCTAAGAACGTCTGCGTGGGAGGCTAACACCTAGGAGGAGGAGGCAGAACCATATAAGGCGGAAACTTGATTTAAGGTGGCTCGAAACAAAAATTCGTCGATAGATTTTCTTTAAAAAATTTCAGTGCTGCAATTGATCAGTATACTATAAAATCGCTGAATTTCGTGTCCATTGAAAACTTTTTAAGTTGTCTAACGTCGGCGCAAAATTGAGTAACTATTGAAGCGATGCCATAGTTTTTGCTCTGGGATTTTCTATTGTCTCAAGTTTAGAACGACATCGATCAAATACCCATGCAGTAAGGCGTTCCAATTTTCTGCATCGATAAAGAATACGCGGGAATTTACCGCGCCTGGTTGCCCTCCCTAATCTATTCGCTATTGTCAGTTTTCACCCTTTCTACAGCATCCAAATCGCAGAAAGATTTCAGAGGGAAACCAGGCACGGTAAATTCTACATTAGACAACTCGAAATTCGGGGATTTGATAGTACACTGATCAATTGCAGCACTGAATTTTTTTAAAGAAAATCTATCGACGAATTTTGGTTCAATTAATCGCTGTTTTCGTGAAAGTAGCCTTGGAAATTAGAGAGCCTCAGCATTGCGTTTTACTGATTCACATGTTTTCATGTTTTTTCGAAATCGCGCAAGTCTACTTGCGTTTAGCTGGTTGTAGAGTGTACAAAGGTCATTTGCAAAACGAATCAGTGATAAAAACTTTTCGGAAGCATCCAGTAAGTAGCAAATTTGTCTGCATCAAGTCCAGCCTTCAATTCAGGCACAATTTATAAACTTTTTGTAGAAATTCAAAGATATCTCGAAATTCCTCTTATAGATTCATTTTTGTGAAACTTCGCACAACCGAAGGCAGGCACTCAAAGTATACGTACCGTAAAGCATTTCCAAAGAAAATGCCGTTCAGGGCAGAAATTCGATTTAGAGCTAAAACTACTGTGACGTCATTGTCACGTGATATTTATTCTGATTGCACAAAAAATAATATCATACTAAAGTTCAGTCTATGTGTAATACATGTGTTATAATGTTTTTACATTAAAGATAAATTTTTTTAAGTATAAGAGATTCAAAGATGGAAGGTGTACCTACAAAAATACTGGGTCGTGCCAGGAGCCGATTACTTACTTACTCGGCTCCTGGTCGAGCCACTTTAAAAAGGGAAAGGGGGGCTATGATAGTAGTGGTGGTGGAGGTGGTGGTGGTAATAATGATGATGATGTTGTTGATGGTGGTGGTGGTAGAGGTAATGAATTCTATAGATGGTGATGGTGATGAAGATGTTGTGATTATGATGATGTTGATACTTCTGTTTCAGGGACATGCCGCCCCGATTCTGTATGCTGCATGGGCAGAAGCTGGTTTGTTTCCAGTCTCAGAACTTGCAAAATTGCGATCAATCGACTCTGATCTTGAAGGTCACCCCACCCCTGTAAGTACCTTGCCTTTGCTTATTATTTAGTGAGGCTGTGATCGCATGGCGAATTCTCGACAGGCTGAAAAAAAAAATGCGATCGAATATTTCGTTCACACGGAACCGTTTAATATTTTCGCTCTATTCACACGGAACTGGCGAGGTTAAGTTTAAAATTTTTTCAGTCAGTGGTTTCACCATCTGGTCATGCGCAGAGCGTTACTTTGACAAATCCAAAATGGTGTTATGTAGTGCGTTTTTCACCACAATAATTCTCTTTTCTGAAATTGTTGAACACCTTCTGAACTCGATCGTATCTCATACTTAAGTTCAATTTTCCGATTTTATAAGACTTATATTAAATAGCGGGCCTACGGGCTTCTAGGATGGCTACGCCCCTGGTATGGGATCTAAAGAATACGTCTTGCGAAGTTAATTTTCACATATTACTATCAGCTTTTCAGATTTCAATGTGTCTATCATGTATGTTACCGTTTTGTTGTTTCATAGCGACTGAGCTTCATCGACTTCGCCACAGGCTCACTGGGTCAAGGTCTGAGTTGCGCATGCGGGATGGCCTACATTGGAAAGTACTTCGACAAAGCAAGGTGAAACATGTGATCTGTAATCGTATCCTCACCCTACCTCCACGTTTTCTAAGCCGGGTAGGGAGGTTATGGCTACAAGTTGGCTAACAACAGTGTTTTTTTTTTTTAAAAGCCGAATCTCATATAAGAAGTATAAATTTACAGTGAAACCCCTATTAAGCGGACCCCCAATTAAGCGGACACCCTCTATTAAGCGGACACTAAGCCGGGTCCCGAAACGAACGTCTGATATTTCCCTTTATAACGAACCCCTATTCAGCGGACACCTCTATTAAGCAGACGCAGACACTAAAATAAGTTGTATTTTGCTAATTTCTATTGTTAAAAACCTCTATTAAGCGGACACCGACTAAATTGACAATAGTAGTATTGGATTACGTCCTTGAAATACGTACTGAAGTCATAATGTTTTTGGATTTACAAACAAATTAAAGTTGGTAATGAAAGGTAATGAACTTGAAGTCTGGATGGCTTCTTTAACAACATGCAATTTTATCACAGTACCTTAAGCGGACACCCTCTATTAAGCGGACACTTAGGAAGGTCCCAAAGGTGTCCGCTTAATAGAGGTTTCACTGTATATGGCAATTAAATTATAGTCCCCTTTTTACTAAGCTACATAAACGTACTGTATTTTACAATAACCGGCTTACAATCTCTCGCGCACAGAATGACGTGGTGTGAAAGCATAGACAAGGAGACCATGGGATTAAAGGGATGATGACTCAAATCGATTTTCTCCGTACTGAAGGCGATTTTCAAGAAAATCTACAAGAAATGAACGTTAAAAATGTCAAGTAAAAAATCAAAATATCATATTTAACAAATAGACAACAATTTTCCATGGTCTCCTCTGTGGTATACTCCGAACTTAGTAGTAAATCTTGAGTTTTAAAGATTTTGACCAGACGTCATTTCTAAGGGTTATAGGAGGACGGGTAAAGGCGCATAAGAGCCAAAGGCCCAAACGGCCGGAGCTTATACCGTTTTCCTTAGCTTGAAGCATGCCTAGGAGTATTGCTACCATCCCCTCCCCAGGACGGGATGCTAGCCCATCGAAGGGTTACCCCTCAGCAGTATGTCGCCGGTATCCATGTATACACCTCGCCCAGTTGTTGTCAGTTAAAAGCAGGATAACGCTATCCACCGGACAAATAACTCTCCAGCGGATAACGTAATTGTTTTTCGTAATACTGGATAGTGATTTATCCAGTGGAGAGTGCTATCCATAGTTTGAACAACCTGGGCCTGGTTGAAGAGAGACAAAGTAGAGTAATGTTTCTTGTCTAATGAAACAACGTGACGGGCGACCGAGGCTTGAACCCCGAATCTCCAGATCCGCACTTCGAGGTGTTAACCGCTCGGCCACACACGCCTCCACTATAGGAGCATAGACTATTGAAAGCTGATGTCTACTAGTAAGTATATTATGAGCCACTGCCTTAACCAAACGACCAAAGTCCTTCATTACGATAAAGCGCTGAGTTTTTCAGGGTTGTTTTTCAGTTATCGCGTGTTCTGCCTCGTTGGTGACGCGGAATCGTCCGAGGGTTCTATCTGGGAAGCCATGAACTTTGCAAGTTATTACAAGCTTGACAACCTGTGCGCCATCTTTGATGTTAATCGTCTTGGACAGAGTGACCCCACAATGTTTGAACATGATTTCGATGCTTACAAGAGAAGGACGGAGGCTTTTGGGTGAGTAAACGTAGAAGTTAGACGGCACCAGACTGAAGACGTTCGTGCCAAAAATCCTGTGATACGTAATCGTCACGTCATCAGTGAAGTTCCAGGCCCCCTATCTCTCTACATTGCTCTGCAAAAGATCTGAAGGGGACAGTCTGGGGCAGTCTGGTTGTTGTTGTTTTTTTGAGAAATGATGTTGATTTGGGAAAGGAATAAATTAGAGAAGGTATACACATAAACCAGTTAGTCCGCTAATCACGTTAGTGACGTTTTTGTACCCGTCCTCGTTCTCGTTGCTTAAGCTTCCTATTGGCCAAGTTCTTTTTTGCGTTTCACTTTTATTGTCCGAGACGAAGTCGAGGTCAATAAAAATGTAGGAAGAACGAGGTCAGTATACAGCCATCTTGATCGAACGAGTTTGGTCAATAAAGGATTTATTGTATGGCAAAAAGAGGACGTTTTCTTGCAGGACCAACGCGGGAAATCCCGAGAGGCCCATGTTCCACGCTCAAGTAGCCAATCAGAAAGTAGGATTCACTTCATCATGCCCACCCACATCCTCGGAGACCCAGGGAGGTCTGTCGGGTCGGGATAAACGGCGGCGAAAGTTTTAAAGAACGGGCGAGAGAGCCCCTAGGATGCTGCTCTTCATAAAATAACAAACCAGTTCCACGACTCATTCGAATGCTTGTCTCTGATTGGAGGCCAGCATCTATCGCGCTGCTTTCATGATCTTCTTATAAGAAGGGGTTTACCTGCAAACACCACTGTTCGCCGTGCACCTGTCTGGCTCTCGCGAAGAGTTTTCAGTGAGCGAGACAGGTACGGCGAACAGTCGAGTTTGCAGGTAAACTCTTCGCATAAGAAGATCACGAAAGCAGCGCGATAGATGTTGGCCTCCGATTGGGTACAAAAATATTTTTTATGCCCAATCAGGGACAAGCATTTGACTAAGTGGTGGAACTGGTTCGTTAAGAATAGTATCCTAAGGGCTCTCCCGACCGTTCTTGAAACCTTTCGCCGCCGTTTATCCCGACCCGTCAAACCGCCCCTGGGTCTCAAAGGATGTCCCACACACAGACTTAGCAATGTAATAAAACACAGTCTCTACTGCTTTATTGCGTCCATGCGGACGATGTTGTGGAATAACAAAGTTGAACTATACTTCTCAAATGTATAAATGATATTTTTTCCAGCTGGAACAGCCTTGTGATCGATGGTCATGATGTTGAAGCTGTGTGCAAAGCATTTTATGAGGCCAAAACAACAAAGAATCGTCCAACAGCCATTCTAGCTAAGACGTTCAAAGGAAGAGGTGTACCAGGTATATAGCGTTGTTTAAAATGCCTAAGATGACCTTTTCCATTTGAAATCAGGGAGAGAACGGGGTGAAAAGGCCGTGCCTATATGGATAGAAGATATGTTTTAGAATTGTATTTTTATTCCACACAATAAAAATGAATACATCGTAATAAACAGCACCACAGGAAATTACTGCTCAGAAGCTTTCATTTGAATGGTTACACTTAAGGATTTCATCCATAGACTCAAAAGTTAGAGCCACCTTTTACTGCATATTAAACAGTACCACAGGAAAGTATTGCTCAGTAGCTTTTATTTGAATGGTCAAACTTCAGGATTTCATCAGTAGAGTCAAAAGTTAGAACCACCTTGTACAGCATAATAAACAGTACTACAGGAAAGTACTGCTCAGTAGCTTTTATTTGAATGGTCACACTTTAGGATTTCATCCACAGACTCAAAAGTTAGAACTACCTTGTACAGCATAATAAACAGTACCACAGGAAAGTACTACTCATCAGCTTTTATTTGAATGGTTGCACTTGAGGATTTCATCACAGACTCAAAAGTTAGAACCACCTTGTACAACATAATAAACAGTACCACAGGAAAGTACTGCTCAGTAGCTTTCATTTGAAGAACAGCTTTAAGGTTCATTCCGCAAACTCACGAGAACAGCCTTGTGCAGTAGAATAAATAGGAAAGTGTGTTTGACAGCTATCGTTTGGTTTACTTAGCATCTCAGAGCAGTTATCACAAAACTATTACAATTTTTGTGTATCCGTGACTGAAAAATATCCTTTGGCTTTTTCAAAAAACCTTTTACTTTTTTCCCCATATTTTAGGAGTAGAAAATTTGGATAACTTTCATGGGAAGGCTCTTGGTGACAAAGGCCGGGCAGCTGTGGAGATATTGAAGAAGACGATCACGTCTAATGGACCCAATAGCCTGGGACCTCAACCCGTCATTGATGATAGCGTGACAACCATTGATCTCTCCGATGTCAAACTGTCCTCACCACCTAGTTACACTGTTGGAGAAAAGGTACGCAGGCTTAAATGGACCGTTTATTGCCGCATGCAGTCAGCTTTGACCGATGATATGTCAAACAATCAAGCTAAATACGCTTGAGTTATATTAGGTAGGTAAGGCGAAGGACAGCGATGGAGCAAAAGCGTTTTGACCTTTGATCAGCTGTCGCCCACACTCCGTAACCTTTGGTTAGTTTGTAGACAATTTACTTCTCATTTATTAGGTAGCTTAAGTCACAAGGAGAACGACGGCAAGGAGAACGGCTAAAAAGCAATTTGCACGTGCATCACGTCTTTTTGTACATTTCTTTGCCGTCGTTGCTCGACCACGACGTGAAAATGCCTAATTTCAGGTTTTGTTGAGGACGTGAACAGAAGAAAACGATTTTCTAATTAGATAGAGTCCTTTAGAATTCGACTCCAGAAAAAATCACCAACATTTGACAAATTGAAAGAAAAACTGAATAACAGCGATGAATTTTGAAACAGCGCGAATTCACTTTTAAAGAGACGTCGAGTCGTCGTTGCTGAAGCTTCCTATTTTCTCTGTTTAGGTTGCTGTTCGTCAGGCGTATGCCAAAGCTCTCATCAAGCTCGGTAACACGTGCGACCGCGTGATAGCTCTAGACGGAGACATGAAGAACTCCACCTTCTCTCTGGAATACAGAAAGGCATTCCCTGAACGGCATATTGAATGCTTTGTGGCCGAGCAGAATATGGTGGGTGTGGCCTTGGGATGCGCCGCGCGAGGTCGTGCCATCACTTTCTCCAGTACATTTGCTGCATTCTTTACCCGCACTTTCGACCAACTGCGCATGGCAGCTGTGTCCCAGTCCTCTGCAAACTTCTGTGGCTCTCACCCCGGTGTCTCTATTGGTAAGTTGTTTCTGATTCCGTGAAACTCTTCCCTGCCTGCTTCAATAGAGAGCTTAGATTCGAAGAAGAGGACGACAACGAGAACGAGATTTTCGCAATACTAAGTAGTGCACGCGGGCAAACCGACGTCATTTTGGCGGGAATATGTGGCAGCCGTCGCCATACTACTATGTGTGTTAGCGAAAATGCCGTAGTGGCGAAAACAAGTTATCAAATCTTAGGAATTTTATCATTTAGCGATCGGTAGAGGGCTTTATCTCCTTCAACGGAATTAAGCGTACTAACTTTTGTGGTGAAAAAGAGTACGATGAAGCTTTCCGTGGTGTCTTTTTTCCGAGAATAGGCAAGAAAACTTAAAATAAACTGTCGTTATCGTAGTCGTCCTTGTATGTAAATCTCTCCATTAAGTCTTTTTGTTGTACCATAATGTGTCCAGTGTTCGCCTGCGCCCAGAGGTCTCTTATTTCCTTTTCTTGAGAAAACATCTGTCCGCAGGTCATTGGCCGCTAGTCTCCTAAGTTGCCGATCTCTGTATAGAGCAATTGATGCTTGAGGAGCGTTGCCGAAGCGTTAGCGTCGACATAAAGAATGAATTCTTAGGAGAAAAATGAACAACTGCATGCAAAGGATCCCAAACGAATATGCGACATGCAGAGCGTAGTATTAGCGAAAAATGTACCAAGAAACACTGAAATGATCTGCAAAGCTGATCGTACTACGCAAAAATCAACTTTGCAAAACAAACACGACACCGATAGAACCCAAACATAGCGGTGCTGAAGCCGCTGACAGTGTGGCTCTTAGGAGACTAGCCATTAGCCATTACAGGGCTCCATTTTAACTAGCTCGGCTAAATTGGATGCTCCTGGATAAATATTGATTTAAATAAATAAATAAAATAGCTGGTTCCAGGAGGGAAAGCCGAGGAGGCCATTTCTGTGGTTATAATCGAAAGTAGTTCTAGAATGAAACAAAAATCAGTGAACGAACGCATAAACCCCTTCACGAAATAAGGCGGTAGTATAAGGAGTAAATTCAACACGAGGCTTTTCGTAGTACAATAAAATTCAAGAAAACTGAGAAGTTACTTCTGACTCGGATTATATGTCAGAATTGTAGTTTACAATATTCATTCACAACTACGCTCCTCCTAAGACGTGCACACCATAAGCTTCATACGTGACACTAGCGCTCTGTTCCGTATGGCAAAATTTTAATTTTTGCTTATTCAGATGAAAGCAGTAAGACTTGCGTATGAAATGAAAATCGAAGTAACTTCTTTTTGTTCTGTAGCGTTCGCATTAGCTTTTCTCTCTTTTTTTATGTATTTTTCTAGGTGTGGACGGGCCTTCCCAGATGGCTTTAGAAGACATCGCTATGTTCCGTTCCATTCCGAACTGTGTGGTGTTTTATCCAAGTGATGCTGTCTCGGGTGAACGCGCTGTTGAACTCGCGGCTAACTACAAGTACATGACCTTTATCCGATCCACTCGAGGTCCGACCCCTGTCATCTACAATAATGACGAAGTATTTGAAATTGGAAAAGCTAAGGTAACTTAAAATTAGGAATAGTGTTATCTGCGCATATTTTGTGGTTCGATTTTAGGCTCATCCTTGGTGCCAGAACCTTTAAGCTTCTCGAGTTAGAAGGACAAAGAGAGCAATAGATGAGCGGCCAAATTTGGCCAATTTTAGACAGTGAGANGTAGTACAATAAAATTCAAGAAAACTGAGAAGTTACTTCTGACTCGGATTATATGTCAGAATTGTAGTTTACAATATTCATTCACAACTACGCTCCTCCTAAGACGTGCACACCATAAGCTTCATACGTGACACTAGCGCTCTGTTCCGTATGGCAAAATTTTAATTTTTGCTTATTCAGATGAAAGCAGTAAGACTTGCGTATGAAATGAAAATCGAAGTAACTTCTTTTTGTTCTGTAGCGTTCGCATTAGCTTTTCTCTCTTTTTTTATGTATTTTTCTAGGTGTGGACGGGCCTTCCCAGATGGCTTTAGAAGACATCGCTATGTTCCGTTCCATTCCGAACTGTGTGGTGTTTTATCCAAGTGATGCTGTCTCGGGTGAACGCGCTGTTGAACTCGCGGCTAACTACAAGTACATGACCTTTATCCGATCCACTCGAGGTCCGACCCCTGTCATCTACAATAATGACGAAGTATTTGAAATTGGAAAAGCTAAGGTAACTTAAAATTAGGAATAGTGTTATCTGCGCATATTTTGTGGTTCGATTTTAGGCTCATCCTTGGTGCCAGAACCTTTAAGCTTCTCGAGCTAGAAGGACAAAGAGAGCAATAGATGAGCGGCCAAATTTGGCCAATTTTAGACAGTGAGACCTGGTCACCCAACTTAGCGTAGCCGTACACAGTGAAGGCAGGGATCAATTAAGGTTTTTGGGTAACTGACCACCTGACCCCTCCCCAAAATCAACATTAGCACTTACTTCTCACTTAGGGCAAAATTGTGACTTAAGGGATGGGTAGGTAGTCAGTAACCGAGAAACCTCAAGTGATCCGGGGGCACATGCGCGCAGTAACGAAAGCAAAAAAATTCTCCTCTCGCGTCTCTCGCACCTTGCAGTTCGCAGTTCGCCGGCACTCTCTTCCCTTACCCCTGTAAGCTTGCGAAGGCGACTTGTCAGAAAATTGTCAGCCTGATGGTTTTCCAAAATTCTTCTTTTTTGTCCGTTTGAAATTTATTTTTGTCACGAAGCTGTCCTTTTTTTCATTTACTACGCAAACGTCCAAAGCTATAGAGGGTCGGGAGGGCGGAAAAAGTGAAAAGCAAAGGAGTGTGATTGGGAAAAGAGGAAAAGAGTTCCTACCCCTCCCTCTCTTTTTCCTGTTAGGTTATTCTCCCCCTCCCACTCCCCCTAAAAACAAAATGCACTGGACTGCAGTGGGAAAGCGATCCCTCTAGATCTAAACTCAATCTGTTCGAGTTCCATAAGCTGACAAGTCAGAAAAATCTCAGATATAATGATATTTTATATAAGCAAACCTCGTAACTTTTTAGTTAGTTACGAGTGCCCAGTTCCTGAAAGGCCTGTTAGCGCTAATCCTGGATTAAAATTTTGTTCTGGTTTTGTATTTTACCTTCCTATGTACTGCTTAGAGTAAAATTTTGTGTTATCATTACTGTATCTCAGAGTAAAGAGTCAACAGTATTTTGTAAGCTCAAGTTGCAAGTTCAAAGGCAAGAAAACCTTTCTTTAAAATTGGCTTAATCCTGCGTTAAACTTAACCATCTCTCGAAGAACCGGGCCCGTTTTTTTATGTGAAACTATTTTTTCTTTGTAGATCGTTCGTGAAACTGCCAAAGATTCAGTGCTTGTTGTTGGAGCGGGAGCCACATTGGACGAAGCCTTGAAAGCTGCTGACGAGCTTGCTAAAGAAAATATTAACATCCGTATCTTGGATCCTTTCACTATAAAGCCAATCGACAAGGAAGCCATTGTTCAGAATGCCAAGGCTGTGGGTGGCAAAATACTGACCGTGGAGGACCATTATCTTGAAGGTACTTACTATACATCCTAGTTAGACAGAATTTCTTTCAGTCCCAGCTAAACGGCCAAACTTTTTTGTCCAACATTGTTTCGGAAGCCGGAGCATGTTTCGCCGTTTAGCGACTTTAGATGCGTCTTTCATTAGTGGCTTTCGATGTTGGATCTATATCAGACTTTTTCATCCAACATTTTGCATTACAAAAAAATACTTAATCGTTTAGCCACCCCAAGTTGTTCATGACTAATAGAATGTTGGATGAAAACAGTTGATCGCTTAGCCGGGACCTCACAGTGACTTAAAATTACTTTAAAAGCCAATTCAGAACTCAGCGCAAATTTGTGCGCTTCGATTTTGCTCTGCTTCATCACGTGATTTGCTGACCAATCGGAAGTTCAATCTGACTCATTCTCGTCCCCAGAGCCCGTCGTTTCTTGGTTACGTGGTCGGTTACAAATTAAGCCGCGAGTGGCTCTGGGGACGAGAATGAATCTGACTCGGTCACATTATAGTCATATGCGTTTTTCCGCGCATTTTTTTGGCTTCATGCATTTTTTTTCTTGTTTTGATTTTTTGTATTGTGTTGACTAGAGTAGACGCCCTGGCTCTGATTTAAAGCTAAAAACAAGTTGACATAAAAGGAAAAGGTTTTCCTGCGTTGTTGTTTTCATTTCCAATAAATCCAGACCGATGGTTTATTTCAGATAAATCTATTTAGCAAAGTTTTCGTTCGCGTTGCTGGGTGACCTAGGTTGAAAAATTAAAGAGATTATCCGTGACTATAAGAACCTGGTTTTCAAGAACCAGTTCGGCTAAAANTGAAAGCTGCTGACGAGCTTGCTAAAGAAAATATTAACATCCGTATCTTGGATCCTTTCACTATAAAGCCAATCGACAAGGAAGCCATTGTTCAGAATGCCAAGGCTGTGGGTGGCAAAATACTGACCGTGGAGGACCATTATCTTGAAGGTACTTACTATACATCCTAGTTAGACAGAATTTCTTTCAGTCCCAGCTAAACGGCCAAACTTTTTTGTCCAACATTGTTTCGGAAGCCGGAGCATGTTTCGCCGTTTAGCGACTTTAGATGCGTCTTTCATTAGTGGCTTTCGATGTTGGATCTATATCAGACTTTTTCATCCAACATTTTGCATTACAAAAAAATACTTAATCGTTTAGCCACCCCAAGTTGTTCATGACTAATAGAATGTTGGATGAAAACAGTTGATCGCTTAGCCGGGACCTCACAGTGACTTAAAATTACTTTAAAAGCCAATTCAGAACTCAGCGCAAATTTGTGCGCTTCGATTTTGCTCTGCTTCATCACGTGATTTGCTGACCAATCGGAAGTTCAATCTGACTCATTCTCGTCCCCAGAGCCCGTCGTTTCTTGGTTACGTGGTCGGTTACAAATTAAGCCGAGTGGCTCTGGGGACGAGAATGAATCTGACTCGGTCACATTATAGTCATATGCGTTTTTCCGCGCATTTTTTTGGCTTCATGCATTTTTTTTCTTGTTTTGATTTTTTGTATTGTGTTGACTAGAGTAGACGCCCTGGCTCTGATTTAAAGCTAAAAACAAGTTGACATAAAAGGAAAAGGTTTTCCTGCGTTGTTGTTTTCATTTCCAATAAATCCAGACCGATGGTTTATTTCAGATAAATCTATTTAGCAAAGTTTTCGTTCGCGTTGCTGGGTGACCTAGGTTGAAAAATTAAAGAGATTATCCGTGACTATAAGAACCTGGTTTTCAAGAACCAGGTCGGCTAAAATTTGCCAGCTAGGCCCCCTCTATACAAGAACCTGTTCAGCCTAAAATTTGAAACAGGGGTCAATTTAATAAAAGTTTTATAAGTGTAATTTACAATCCGGTAGAGCTCTATTGTTTTGGAGTCTAAAAACAATAGAGTTAAGAGTCCCCACCCCCGGGAATTTGCCATCCGAGGCAAAAACAATGCTAATGCCCTAATTAGATTAAATTTGTGCTAATTATCATTTATGTAAGAACCTGTTTAGGCTAACTTGGGAGAGTGCAGGTTCTTAGTCCAGGGTTTTTACTGTACTTCCCCTGTAGGTGGCATTGGTGAGGCTGTGTTAGCTGCCGTAGCAGAGGAGAGTGGGGTGACTGTGCGCATTTTGGCAGTGAAAGAAATCCCTCGAAGTGGGCCTGGGGACGCTTTGCTGGATCTATTTGGAATCAGTGCTAATCACATTGTCAAAGCTGTTAAAAACATTTAATGACCATCTCAGGAATGAAATTTCCCTTCACTGTTACACTTGCAATATTCGAAAAACATGAAATAATCCTTTTCCTTTTTTTGTTAATCGGGGTCAATGATGTTTACCTCAGCTAAAATTGCGGGGTTATAAGTTCTAAGAACTGTCAGGCCATTAAAGTAATTTTGGAAAGCCATAATGATCAGTGAGTGAGATGCGTTTTCGTGTCAGCCTCGTTCTGAAAACGTGCCGGACCTGCAAATGAATATAAGGGCATTCTATACCACATTGAGGACATATACGGCAGCTTTCCCCTCCCCTCACATCACGCGCTAGACCACCAAGTCTCGGGGTAAAAGCGAAACAAGTGCAGAGACCATTTAATCCCTTTCGTCGTTGGAAGTAAAGATTCATATCAAATGACTCGTACGGCCTCACGGGCAATTTCTTTGAAAAAACATATGAAAAAAATCTCCCGTATGAGGGCCGTACGCATCAACTGATGGGGCCGGAAAAACTCAACGTTCATATGATAAAATGCTTAAGGATGGTTTTCACTAGCGACGGAGTCGGAGTCGTAATCAGAAGCGTAGAACTTTACGATCTAGTGAAAACAGTGTTCTGATTCCGCTTACCGTACGTCTATTAGGATCAAGTGAAAACTAGTTTGTCGGGGTCGCAAGCAGAAGCAGAAGAACTAAACCAGTCATAAAGCGTGGGGACGTGAATTGTGATTGGTTTAAACTTGCGCTTCTGCTTCCGACCCCGACAAGCTGGTTTTCACTTGATCGTAAGCGACGGAGTCAAAAGCGGAAGCATTCTGATTCATTTTCTTTTGACGTCGATTCCGTCGCGCTTATGACTCCGCTTACGACTCCGATTTTTGATTGTCACTTGGTCATAAGCGCTCTTACGTCTCCGCTTACGACTCCGTTGCTAGTGAAAACCAACCTGAGTTAGGTCGGGCCGGACGAGGAAGTATTTGACTCTCGGTCAGGACGCACGGACCTCGCTCCGCTAGGTCCGTACTTCCTGACCTCGAACCAAATATTTTCCCCTCCGGCCCTTCCACTCAGTTAATAAGGACTTAAAACTGGGCCATAAGAAAAACATATATATATATTGTATTCGTACGGTAGATTGCCACCTTAAAACTACTTTCAATAGTACAACGTCATCGACCTTGCAGTGAACTTCCACTCAGTTAATAAGCACATAAAACTGGGCCATAAGAAAAAAAATATATCGTATTCGTACTGTAGATTGCCACCTTAAAACTACTTTCAACAAGCTTCAACAGTACAACGTCATCGACCTTGCAGTGAGCTCAGACAGCAACCTCGTTCCCAGGTCTTTCTTTCCTTACTTTACGTCATTTCTTCTTGGATCGTGACGAAAGTCGACGAGAAGATGGATCTCGTCAATGAGCTGTTATTTCCACCTCGGAAAATGATTTGTTCATGGCATGTGCGACATTTCTTGCTTTTAGACGGGGCCTTCTATTTTAGGTCAAAGTGCCCTCTTTTAATTACTACTTGACCTTACTGATTCGCTGTATAAACAAACAAGTTTGTCACATCTGTTTTTAGGCTTCTAAATTGGGTTAAAGAAGCTTACAGTTCAGACAGGGAAGCAGCGGCTTTTTAAAGGTGAACATACCAGGAACTGTTCTGACCTCGAGGAGGGTGGGGAATAGGCGGTGTTCTGGGTGGGTGTTTCCCAAATTTCTTCCTTTTGCGTGCTGGGGACATTTCGATGAATAAATAGGCCTCGTAACCAGCCAACTGGATTTCACTGTCTGTGATAAAGACGGAGCCTAAAAACAAAGAAAAGAAAACGGAAAATTAGACTACGAGTAGTCCCCCATTTTTCCTCAGGGATAGTAGAGCAAGCGAAACGCGAGCGCGCGTGAAAATCATAATTCTCTCTCCCCGCCGCGTGTCGCAATTCCTCGCGTGGGGTGATTTTCACGCGCGCTCGCGTTTCGCTTGCTCTACTATCCCTGAGGAAAAATGGGGGACTACTCGTAGTCTAACGGAAAATAAGTGTTGACAGGCCGACCATCCCCACGGGCACGTGATATTAAAAGCTCTCCTTAAAGTTGGCGTCGTAACCTGAAAGGGGAATTTGGGGTCGGTTGGGGGACGAAATTCTAGCGGTTTCTTTACTTGATAAATTGACAGTGTTGAAAAATTGACTTAATAGTGTTGACAAAATTAACTTAAAGCATTGTATCACCAAAATACAAAAAGGCTTTACATCAGCTAACTCAATGATAAAAATGTGTTCTTCTAGTAAAAATTTGACTGTTGTTTTCGAAATTTAGCTGCACGCTCGTTCGTACGTGCCTATATTGTAGCTAAGCCCCGTTATCACAATTTCTTAATCAGATCTGTGCCTGTAACTTTTAAAATGGAGAAATGATCAGTTGTCACTTTTATAGAAGTAGGCACATAGCCAAAGGTGGAGGTACTTAACGTGTAGAAAAAAAAAACAGCTTGACAAAGCAAATTGTTATTCATCGCAAGTCATAATATAATAGCAGCTCGAAGGACTATCCACAACGCTTTCCACAACTTCATTGATCTTGTGACCTCTTGTAGTCTGCAACACAGCCGTTTTTTGTGCCGTCACGCAACGCTCTTTTCCACAAATGGGGGAGGAGCGTTGCGTGACGACCCAAAAGTAAACCGTATTACCCCTCCCTACACGGGTGGAGATCACGTGGAGAAAATTTTACAAGAGAGAGGCACTGGAAAATTCTTTCATTTTGCCTCAGTCGTGTGTGTTGGGTGCAAGTTGTTTGGCCTGTGAATTTTACAAATTTCCTTCGACAACTGGACTCGATCTAAGCAACATGGGAGACACATACCACAGACCGGACCAAAAGACTCTCCAGGCCTTGAGAGATATGGCGAACAGGCTACGAATCCATAGCATTGAGTCTACGAACACAGCAGGTTCAGGGTACGTACAGTATGCAGTAATTTTAATGCTAAACTTTGCAGCTTGGTTTAACTCACAAGTCGCATTTAAACTTCCTGATTTTATCTTTCAGACATCCGTCGTCTTGTTGTTCTATGGCTGAAATAATGTCGGTTCTTTTCTTCCATACCATGCGTTACAAAGGTGGGTTTTAGTTATGCTTTTAGTTTTGCCTGCTCGTAATCATCTTAAACCGTGCGAGCGAGATATGTATTGAGCAATACTTTCTTGGTGCTTGTCATTCGAAATTTTAGCCAACATAACATGAACTTTATTAGCAGCTTTTAGAAGCCGATTTGGCCTCCATTCCGTGCTATTTCGCTTTTATGTAAAATTCGTAAGGTTGTACTCCGAGGTGTCTTAAGCAAATATTGGCCCAAGTCTTCAAGGCAGTACTGTGGAGTTTTCATCAGCGTGTATCGATTTCACCCCATTGGATTCAGTTAATAACTCACTTAAGTTATTAATTTTAGTTTGTTTACTGTATTTTGATTTTGCGATGCTGTACGTAGAATCTTTTTGAGGTAAATTTAAAGCGTGCCAATTCTTTTTTGCATTGTCACTGTCCAATGGCTTAATTAAATGCCTGTCCTTAAGCATGTAATAGTTGCATACACTTAATTCAAGTTCGATTCGCTTTGATTTGAATTTAACAAATACGTCACTGTTTTTTTAAAAAAAGCATTTTTACAAAGGCGTTGGGATCTTTCATCTCCAGTGTCGTACATCATTGCACATAAAGTATTTTCTGAAGAGCTTTTAGCTTTAAGTTAAAACTTTGAAACTCCTACTAATTTACAAGCGCTAGCCTTAATTTTGATTACATGTGCAATGTATTACGACAAAACACGGAAAATAAAGGCAGACATCTCTTTCTGCTAGACCAACACATGTCAATCATCTGACCTTGTGTTGAGTAAATTTAATTGTATCTGTGAGCCGATGTACATGTTTTCGTCATGCAAATTGCAGAGAATCACTCAGTCATGTCATGTAGATTTTGAGTTAAACATAAATATTCTTGAAACATTTTACAAGCCAAAAAGATGCTATTTTCTTGTGGTCATAAATAATCTTTGTTGAGTTTGTTTTTAAAAGCTGTTTTTTGTTTTTCAAACAACTTCGGAAAGTTTTGAAAACTTTTAGAATAAATGCTTTTGTGTTATTATTTTCTTGAATTGTTATTACTGTTTGTGTTGAGCTACAGGTTGTACTTGGAACTGAATATATCTAACAATTTATTACCCCTGTCACCGTTCAACAGCTCAATCTTATGTTGTAAAAGACATATTGCACCATCCCTTTTTTTTTTTGTATGTGCAATATTAATACAACAGTGCTTTTTTAATATTCCTTTTTTGTTAGTCTTCATTAAGGTCACCAATATCAATTTTGTTTCCTTTAGTCATGCAATGTTGTTCATGAGTTAAACTATGAAATTGTGTTACCAAATGATTTTTGTTGCTATGTAATGATTAAAACGTACCCATTTTTGATCATTATAATATCCTTCTCCCTTATGCTTTGGGCAATTCAGAGTAATGATTTTCAACTTCCTTTAATCTGCATAATAATTGAAAGCAATGCAAAAGTGAATACCTTTGCACTACTCAATCGATTGTTCACTGACTTTTACTAGCAAGTTATAATTTTCACCAATCTTTTTAACAGCTGTAAAGATGGGGATATACATGTCAAAATTAATCTACAATTTTAAATAAGATGGAATTTCTCTCAGATATAGGAATACATCATTCTTTTTTATTCCATTGAATTTCCTTTTGTTGGAGCTTTTGTTTTCTCAATTTGCTTTAAAATTGCTGTTCTTTGGAAACTATTTTAGTTTTTTTAGTTTGTATTTTTGAGACAGATTGGAAAAATCATGTCCTTTTCCAATATGTCAATCAAACTTCCATTAAGCTTATTATATGTATCAAGTTCGTTCATCAATAGTTTTAGATTTGATTGAAGTGAATTGAGTACTGAACTTATGTGGTGAGCTTATGCATATTGAAACATGGTGGAAGCGGCGTAGCTGGTTTAGGACCCCGCTGGAGTCCTAGAGAGAGAGAGAGAGAGAGAGAGAGAGAGAGAGAGAGTCCAATGTCCAACTCGGAAGAAACTACGGCACATCGGCGGCCTCACAAGCTTCACCTCCTTTGCCGTCTCAGCCAAGCGTCACAATGCAAGCTGCTCCCCTTAGACAAGGTATCATGCCGCCAAAACCTCTAGGTACCACTACTAACATAGCTGAAAACTGGAAACAGTTCAAACAGATCTGGGAAATTTACGCTATTATCACAAATCTTACTGCACAAATGGAACAGTACAGGGTCACGTTACTCCTTCACTGCCTGGGTCCAGGTGCCATGAAAAATCTACAATGGAAAGCAGTTCGCCAGTGAGACGGACCACCGCACCTTATCCAAAATTATTGAGAAATTTGACGAGTTTACTATTGGAGAAGTCAATGAGACCTACAAACGCTATATCTTTAACGGATGAAATCAGGGCCAAGACGAATCTATCGATGCATACATTACTGCGCTAAGATCTCTAGCTAAAGCATGTGGATTCTGTGATTGTCTTGCCGACAGCCTGTTAAGGGATCGCACTGTTCTCAGGATAAACAACCACTCTCTTTGAAAATGCTTGCTGCAAGAGAGAAATTTGGATCTTAAAAAGTGCATCAATTTGTGTAGAAGTAGTGATCGAAGCTGCCTCCTCCCAAAATTATTAAAGATATTTCAGGAGCATCTAGCACAACAGATGGCGTACATTGACTAAAAGTACAGCCAACAAAACCTCTTTGGAAGCAAAAATATGATCGGAAGGCAAAGCATCACAAGCACCAGAAGCGAAAGATTTGCAAATTCCACGCTGGGAATCACCCTCTGAAAAACGAGCTATGTCCTGCATGGCAAAAGCGATGTCAGAAGTGAAATGGCAGAAATCATTTCGCCACAGTTTGCAAAAAGGGCCAAGCGCGTGGTGTGCATGGGCTTTCTGAGCAACCTGAGCTTGACAGCGATGAACACGATGACAGCTGTGAGTCTAGTGATTACGAATTCCTCACCGTTATCGCAGTGGAATCATCTATCCATGCAATTGAACAAACATCCAGCCATGCAAAAGAAATATGCACAGAGATGGTGATCAATGACAAGAAAATTAAATTTCAGATCGACTGCGAAGCTTCGATAAACATCATCACTAGATGTAACACCAGAAAAAGTCACATAACACCATCAAACAAAACCCTGAAGATGTGGAATGGAACAGAAATAAAACCCCTCGGAACTACCAGCTTGAAAGTCACGAATCCTAAAACTGGAAAGCAGTATTCAATTGAAATTGTTGTTGTTCCCGATGACTTAACACCACTGCTAGGTGCACGTACAGCACAACAAATGGAGCTGATAACTGTGGTTGAAGATCATTTTGTCTCTGTTCCGCCTCCTCAAAAGACATCATGTGAGGACATCCGAAGCATTGCAACAGCTGACAAGCTAGTTCGACGCTATCCAGAAGTTTTCGCAAGATATCTGGGAACCCTACCTGGCACAGTCCAATTGAGAGTTGATGAAAATGCCGAACCTTCCATAACGCCTTCGTGACCGATCCCCACAGCGCAGAGAGAGAAGTTCAAAGCTGAACTAGACTGCTTAGAGAATCTAGGAGTACTAGCAAAAGTAGATGAGCCTACGGCATGGGTGAGCAGTGTTGTTATTGCTACAAAGAAGTCAGGCACCCTTAGAATATGTATAGATCGGTGACTGTTGAACCAAGCCTTAAAAAGAGAAACACATCAGCTGCCAATCCTAGACGACTAAATGCCAGAGCGGGCTTGAGCAAAGATCTTTTCAACTGTTAATCTTACCGCAGGATACTGGCACTGCATGCTTGACGACGAGTCTAGTCTCTTGACTACCTTTGCAACCCCTTTCAGAAGATACCGGTGGAAAAGACTCCCATTTGGTTTATCAGCATCAAGCGAGATCTTCCAGAAACGGGTGAGTCAAGCCCTAGAAGAACTGGAAGGAATACTTAACATCACTGACGACATCCTCATATTTGGAGTTGGTGACACCAAAGATGAAGCTCGTCGTGACCACGATCGTAAATTAGAGGCATTACTACTCAGATGCACAGAGCGTGGAATTGCCCTAAAAAAGAACAAGTTGAGACTTCGGTTTACTGAAGTGCCATTTATGGGTCACCTCTTAACCAAACAAGGCCTCAAGATAGACCCCGACAAAGTAAAAGCAGTCTTAGAGATGCCTCGACCCAAAGATGTGGAAGGCGTGCAGAGGCTTAACGGATTTGTCAATTACTTGTCAAACTTCCTACCTCTCCTAGCAGACCAAATGGAGCCTATACATTGCCTCACATGACAAGACGTGTACAGAATTTAACTGGACGGATGAGCAAGAGAACGCGTTTAGAGAAGTGAAGTGTCTTGTGACTACCACCCCAGCTCGAAGGCCGAGCTTGAAATCCAGTGTGATGCCAGTTAGAAAGGCCTAGGAGCTGCCCTCCTGCAAAGAGGCAAACTGATCGTGTACACAAGCAGAGCGCTCACTGAGACTGAGCAGGGATGCGCACAGATTGAGAAAGAAATGCTTGTGATCGTATTCTCACTTGAGAAATTTAACCAGTACAGCTACGGACGCCACGTGAAAATCCAAAGCGACCACAAGCCACTGGAATCCATCCTGAAGAAGTCTCTCGTGTGTACGCCAAAATGCCTTCAAGGTATGATGATGAGACGTCAGAAATATGATTAAGAGGTGCAGTATGGCATGAACCTGTACTTGGCCGATACAGTCTCCAGAGCGTACCTGCCGACGACCTTACATCCGACTGGAGCTGAATTTGAGAACATCAATGCCACTGCGTTCCTCCTGTATCCACATCTAGACTCCGGGAAATCCAGCAGGCAACTGAGGATGACGAGATCCTGCAAGCCCTGAAAGCTGTCATATTGCGTGGCTGGCCAGATGATTGTAGTCAAATACCAGAGCACATAAGCCCCTACTTTAGCATGAGGGATGAGTCGTCAGTACACGATGGGGTGATATTCTGCGGGCAACAAATTGTAGTTCCTGTCAGCCTATGAAAACACATGAAACAAAAGCTGCATGCCTCACACCTTGGCGCAGAAAGTTGTTTACAAAGAGCGTGGGAGACCATATTCTGGCTGAACATGAACTCTGAATTAAAAGAAATGATCGCAACCTGTGAGACCTGTCGCAAGTACGAGACCAGCCACAAGAAAGAGTCTCTGATACCTCACAAAGTACTCAATTGATCATGAGAGCAAGTAGGAGTGGACCTGTTTGAACTAAACAAGAAAGAGTTCATGATCACAGTAGATTATTACAGCAATTTCTGGGAGATTGACCGCCTCACAAGTACCACCTCATCAGCTGTAATTTTGAAGCTGAAGAACCATTTTGCTCGCTATTTTTGCCCTGATCGCTTGATCAGCGACAATGGTCCTCAGTTCGTGTCATCAGAGTTTCATAAATTGGCAAATGATTGGGACTTTGAACACAGAACTAGCTCTCCTGGGAACAGCAAAGCCAACGGTAAAGTGGAATAAGCAGTGAAAACAGCAAAGAACCTCCTACGTAAAGCATTGGGTGCCGGAACAGACCCATACATCATAATTCTTGATTACCGTAATACTCCCACACAAGGAATGGAATCAAGTCCTGCTCAACGCCTAATGAATAGGAGAACAAGAACACTCCTTCCCACAATGAAGACTGTTCTCCAACCCAGAGCCCCACACAGTGAGCGAGATATCCAACAACTGAATAAGCGACAATTTCATCAGTCTAGATACTACAATCAGCATGCTTGTGACCTATTCTCACTCGAAGAAGGTGATGTCGTATGTATGAAGCCGTTCCAGCTGTGAAGTAAGGAGTGGAAAAAAGGCATGATTGATATAATATTGAGACTTGGCGAAAGATCATATTTGGTGGAAACACCCAATGGAGACACCTATAGGAGAAATCGTTACCACCTTAGGAAAACCAAGGAAAACCCTGATCCCAAGGAAGTGTCAGACATAACACCTTGTAGAAGTCCTGAGGATCAGCCAACACCTGCTGGGCCGAAGCTACTGTCCTCTCCTGCCACTGCTGAGAAAACCACAGACAACAAGACAACAATCGCACCCAAGACAGCAGCCATGCCTCAGTGCATTAGACGACCCCCTCAGTATCTGAAAGATTACGTACTGAAATGATTAGATATGATTAAAGGACATGCCATAGTTTAACATTATCTTTTTCATTACGATTTGTTTTTTTTTTTTTATTGATAGGACTTGGAGAACATTGTAGTTTCTCATCATTAATAATTTGATCAGAGAATAGACAGTGTGCCGAATGATTAGAAATGATTGTTTTATGAAGAGACACTTTTCAAAACAGGAAGGATGTTACAATGTCAATCAAACTTCCATTAAGCTTATTATATGTATCAAGTTCGTTCATCAATAGTTCTAGATTTGATTAAAGTAAATTGATTACTGAACTTATGTGGTGAGCTTATGCATATTGAAACGTAATGGTGACCTTGTTCGGCAAGTTTTCATCCTAGTATTACATATAATGGAAATATAGATGGAACTGTCTCGTGAATTTTGTCTAAGCTGTAATATTCCTCCCAATTATGTGAATTATAACTGGACTTAGGTTTGTTATATCCATTATTTCTTAAATGAAAGAAAGAAATATCCTTTAGCTACCATCAAAATGTCTATGAATTATGCAAAGATTGTACCGGGTCCATTTTATAGTTAATTTCCAACTGTTGCTTTTTATAATTAGTGTCTAAGCCTCGAGATGTCTCAAGTGATAGGTTCATCTTGTCAAAGGTAAGCATTTTACTTTAATGACAAAGCTGTCACCTAGCTGCACAAACATGACTTTTCCAGAGGTTATTTTGACCTGCATTTCAACCTCTTTTCTTTGGCTCGTCATGATAACAGATAGCGAAAAAAATCCTCAGTCTCTCTTGTGTCTCTTCACCCAGGAGTATAAATGGGTACCAGGGACATACTCTGTTGGGAGTAACCCTGTGATGGACTAGCATCCTGTCCAGGGGGGGAGTAGCAATACTCCTAGGCATGCTTCATGCTAGGGAAACTAGAAATAAGCTCCAGCCGTGTGGGCCTCTAGCCCTTGAGGGCCTATACCTTTTACCTTACCCTTTGCTTTAATAGGAGAAAATTAATTTTGGTCATTCTTGTGACTTAAAGGATTAAATATTTCATATTTTAGGCGAGCAAACCACAAAACAAGAATGTATCACCATTGCTGCTTGCAGTTTAATAATCTCTTGCCAGGTGGTTCTTCCCTTGGAAAACATTAACATTCCATTATTTTGTTTGACGTTCTCAGTTTCTGAGTTTCACTTTAACTGATTTACTTTTTTCACATTTATATTCATTATAATCTGCCAAGTGAAATGAAATTTATACTTGTTTTATACCTGTGGATATGTTGTAGTTCAATTTTATCCTTGGTTCAATTTTTTTTCCTTTGTTTCAAACTCATTATCATATGTTACCATGGCCAAAAACAAGAAGGAGAATAAAATTTAAACCAAGGACAAAATTGAACCACAACCACATATACATTCATTTTCTTATTCGTTTTTTGTTTCATTCCATGTTTTAGGGTCATGCTGCCCCCATCCTGTATGCGGCATGGGCAGAGGCTGGTCATGCAAAATTTCCTGTCTCAGAACTTGGGAAACTGCGGGCATTTGGCTCTGATCTGGAAGGCCACCCCACCCCTGTGAGTAACCTGTTTAGTTTTGCTCATGTTATGTGGTCAAATAGCCTGCGAACGGCAGACGTTTCTCCTCGCTCATCGCTGCTGAGAGATGTTTCGCGAGAAGGAACGTCTGCGACTCAGCGACAGAAATTCCATACTGATGACGCAAAATCTGTCCGGAATCTGGTCAGAAGCGCTAATTGGTCGACTGAGTAGTTTCGTTGTTTTAGCTATTGTTTGTGAATGACAGACAAAAGACAAAAGGCCGTAAAGGTCAAATGTAAATGCAATGAACCTCTAACAAAACAGTCAATATTTGTCGAATATAGTCGTCTCCAGAAGAAGCATTTGAGTTTTTCTGGAGCTCATTCGCAGATGAACACAACACTTTACCAAAATCGACCAGGAGAAACGTAAAATTGAACAAATTTGCATTTGGAACCCGATGACTACTGGATTTATTATGTAAACATTGATTTACGTCCTCGGTATGGAATTTCTGTCACTGAGTTGCAGACGTTCCTCGTCGCGAAACGTCCCTCGGCGGCAATGAACAAGTAGAAACGTCTGCCATTCACAGGCTAGTGGTCAAAAGTCTCAGGCGTCTCTTCTGTGGAGAAAGGACTTCTGTCTCATGAGGCAAGATTCTCATCTAGAGAAGAGAGTTTTGTCTTGAGAGATGGGGACAACGAGGCTCGTGCCTTGGGAGGGGGTGGTAACTGACTTTTAAGCGGTACTGTACTTTGACTTGCACAAGGGTTAATAATATATGGAATTCTAATGAAGAGATTTTTCTGAATATAATTGATGATAGATGTGTGGGATAAATAAGATTATTTCTGATGAACGATTATAAGTTTAGTTGATTCCCTACACTACTCGTCGCATTGGCGATGTTGGAGGTTGAGAAAAATGACTGCATTTGGATGGTGGTCGTGCGTGGCTGTTTTAGTGGTTAAAACATGGATCAATATAACCACAGGACAAACATATGTTTTTTTTTTTTTTTGTGGAGTCATCAGGCCACTTTTATGTAGAGAGGTGACCATTATAGTAAAGGTTCAACTTTAAACACAATATGAGTTTAAAATTTTTCCCCCTAAAGGAAATTTTGAAGCCCCAGTTTTCCATAAGCTCTTATTATAGATTGGCGTAACAGCTGTTAAAAACTGCGAGTTCCAGAGAGGTCTACTAAATTTTATTTAGAGGAACTTGTTTGTCAGAGCAAAATGATTGCCTTTGCCTTTCATCTTTGTATATACGCCTATTTCAATTAAGGTTACTTCAGAGAAGAATGATGCATGATGCATGGTCCAAGTTTCATATTATAGCCCACGGTGCATTATTGTAGCAAGTCTAGTGCCCGCAATTAGCCTAGAAGCCTAGAAAGCAAATGCTACTGATGCTTCTATGCTATGTCAGCAGACCCTTAAGACAATGGATTTCAAAGGAATGAATCCTAGGCTTTTTAATTTAAGACAGTGATCTGATGTTAGGTCTTTCTCTGTGGTAATATGCAAATGCTGCAAATTTTCAATGAGTTTGCTTCGCTCGTGCACATGGAAATTTTGGATTGAGTTAAAAAAAAATCAGATTTGAGGCATTTGTTGAACTGCAATAGATAAAACTTAACATTATGTGTTTATCTATTTTTCAGGCAATTTTTTAAAAACTGATTTAAAAAAAAGTAGCGTTTTTAGTTTGCTTTACTGAAATAACCAGCATTCTGGCCCATGCAAAAACGCAGCTCAATCAGGCGGTAAAACCCTATTCATTTAATGTTGTTAAAAGAAGAGGCTTCTAATTTTTTACTGTGAGATTTTAATCAAAGAAAGACTATCGTCAACTCGTGTGTACGTTGTTTAGAAAGTAATCAATTAGTTATCACCTCTGGTTTTCTCACAATAAATTTTAGGAAATGATAGAAATTCAAATTATAAATATACTATCCTTGTTCTGGAAACACAATACTTTTCTTGCTGTTTATTGCACTTTATTAACAGTTATTTGGGTATATATATTTAAAAACAAAAAAACCAAAAAAAAAAAGCAAAACAAATAAGCAAACAAAACAAAACAAAAAAGAAAAAAAAAGGAAGATGGGAAAAAGAAGGCTCTCGAGTTCGGACCCGATTAATTACAAAGTGCATCTACCACGAGTGAGCAAGTGACTCATTTGCATATCCCTGTCCCTGCAATAACTCGTCGTATGCTCGTGCGTACCCACGAGTTAAAAATTAAAGTTTTCAGCTCACTCATGCTTAAGAATAATATTTTAGCAGCCATTTGACTTGAAAGCTCTCTAGAATGCCTTCTCGCAAATGGTCTCCATTATTTCAATAAACGTGAGCAAGACTAATCTTCCCCTTACAAAAGGGTTTACCATAGTGCGCTGCAGGCTATAAAACATGGTTCACGGGAGCAACCTTAATTGTAATAGGTGTATATACGAAAAGCCAGTGCTGTGCACATCAGTGCTGTTTCAAAGTACCATAGCCTTTGAGAAATGTAAGGACATTAGTTTGACATATATGGCTTGATCCAAACCTATACTTGCTTTCTGTATGAAAATTATTCTGAAATAATTCTATATGTAGTTAATTGCTAATAATTATTAGAACTAGAACAAGAATTCACAAAGAAAGCAGGAAAGGCTGTACATGTATGTCAAAATAAGGTCTATCCAGCCTCGCTTCAATCAACTAACTGTAAATTGGGTTAATAAAATATGATGCTTATGTTTTCTTCCCCAGCGATTAGACTTTGTTGACTTTGCCACGGGTTCACTGGGCCAAGGTCTTAGCTGTGGATGTGGTATGGCGTACACTGGGAAATACTTTGACAAAGCAAGGTGAAATGTTATTTTATTTGATATGATTTGTCATTTATTTTTTTGTATATGAATTATTCATTTGGGATCTTTTGGAGCAAATTAAAGGGTCTTTTATGGGTTACTGACCAAGTGCCAAGTTTTCCGTATATCTGTTGGGTTAAGGTCTTTATTTATCTATTTATTTGTTTTTTATTTATTTGCCAGAAAAAAATATATTCACATACAGACACTCAATATATTAACGGAACTCCACGCATGCATGAACTGCGCGCGTGTGGAGCCCCATACCTAAGTAAATCTACCCATCCTAGAAAATTTGGTAATCATGTCATCGTACACAGAGTGACCATCCATCCGCACCACAGGCATACCAGTGTAAACATAGGCGTAAGGGGGATTTTTTGCCAGGGGGGGCGGTAGACCATTTGCCCAAAAAAATTCTTGCAAGTTGCCCAAATTTTTACAAAACAGTCGAACAGAAACGAGGGCCATACGATGTAACAACATAGGCCGTACTAGCATTATGAAAGTGGCTCGATACAGTTTTTCAGGGTCAATACCTGTGAAGTTTTTTTGAGCATAGACTACGACCTCATAAACAAACATTTGGAAAAATTGCCACCACAGTTGTATTAGATAAAGATAAAAATTTGTTTTGATCCGGGTTGCAATAACATCGGAGTTGTCATAGCAACCAAATGACGCCATTATCTATTATACTTGCAGCAAAATTTCTCATTGGGAACTGTTCTTCCAAAATTGTTCACGGGAGAATTTTCCTCCAATAGTCGCCTCGATGTTCGTAAAGTTAAAAAGGAATCTGTAAAAGCGTTGCGGAGATATTTTTGGGATAAAGTTTTTATCGTTAGAAATAAGGTAAAAAGGAAAATCTTGATGTTTGGCTGTTATCTGTAGAAAGCGAAGCGCTTTTGACATGCAATTTCACCTCATAGTAGTTTCAATCTTTTTAAAAACGTGGGTAAAAGATCATGGAGATTGCTCTGGCCAAAAAAGGATTTGAGTATTTAGTATGTATCATGGCGCTCTTGTTAGCGGTTTTGTAAACATTTCGGTCTACTTTAACAAATTAGTGAATAATTTTTAAACCACTTGATAGATTCTTTTTTAAAAATTACGATTCTTCACGTAATTCAAACTGAGAATTAGTCAGCCACTTCTTCACTTTCAGACCCATTGCTGATGCTATCTGCCATACATTGTTCTACGAGCGGAGATGATTCTAGAAAGTTAGGCAGAAGTTTATTCTAATCAACTCACGACTGGAAATAGCCCATTGCAGCACATGATACCCTTCCCTTATAACCAGAAACTCATCATGTGCTAGGCAACCACTGTCTCGTGTGAATATAACAGTACTGGATTATTACGCCAACTTCAGGTTAAAATAGAAAATATTTATCTCTTCAAAATAATGATTTCAAAAACACGGAAACGTCTTAAAAAACTGGTTTTGCCCAAATTTTCTCTCGCTGCCCAAACTTTGGGGGGGCTGCAGCCCCCCTCACCCCCTCGGCCCATACGCCTATGAGTGTAAAATAACTCAATCAACAGGTATAGCAATCTAAGGGAAAGTTCATTTAATATGACAAGGGGGGGGGATGAAGATATTGAGGGGGGGCTCCGAAAATTTTTAGACACCCGAAGGGGGGGCTCTGAAAAAATTGTTGCGCTAGGAGGGGGGGCTCCGAAAATTTGTATACTTCAAAACCAACACATGACATCATCATACAGATCGGATGGTTTTCAACTCAACAATTTAATGACCTGTGCAACTCAGCTATATCACGTGGTTTACAGATATAACAAATGTAGTCTCAGTAATTATTACACTCTTGTTCATCCCAAAAATGCTTTAGAAAATTTCAAAAATTAGAAATGCTCAAACTTTTTATAATAAAACCACATTGATTCAACAAGATTTCAAAATCTGCTAACGGGAACCATAAAAACGATGGCTCTGTAACAAGAAATGTTAAGAAATGAAGGAGGGGGGGGGGGGGGGGGGGCTCCTAAAAAATTGAACCGCTAGCGAGGTGGGCTGCTAAAATTTCAAGCTTCGAGTTTCAATATCTTCATCCCCCCCCCTTGTCATATTAAATGAACTTTCCCTAAATGCAACTTGAGGTCATTTTGGTGGGAAATCGCATAGCCACCGGCATCTTGTAAAGCAGAGACAACTAAAGAGTTAACAAAGATAAAAACAGAAAGTGGAGATTGTTTCTGTATCCGTGGTGTCTAAAGTATTAAGCTTAATAGATAAATTGTCATGTCCATGGCTAAATCTGTATATTACAAAACTGTTAGGTAAAGATTAAAGAGACATAAATTGTAAGTAAAAGAATTAAAAGAATTTTTTTTTCAATGTTCAACCAATGATCTTGACCAAACAGTTTTCAATGATGATGATGATGATGATGATGATTGTAATTAATTGCTTAAGCTGAGACATACAATTGCCTTGATGACATAATAGTATTGTTCAGAAACATGCCACCCTGAATCTGTATACTGCATCACCATCATCAAATTTAAATCAGGTCATTCAATAAAGTTGGAATTAGTGTCAGGATTTTAATGTAGATGTGTCATTAGAAGCAGCTTGATCATTTGCTCTTGCGCTGATGTGACAGCCTTATTTTTATTTTCTCAGCTATCGTGTATTTTGTGTTATTGGTGATGCTGAAGCTGCAGAGGGCTCAGTCTGGGAAGCTATGAATTTTGCAAGTTATTATAAGCTTGATAACTTGTGTGCTATCTTTGATATCAATCGTCTTGGACAAAGTGACCCCACAATGCTTGAGCATGACTTTGATACTTACAAGAAAAGAACTGAGGCTTTTGGGTGAGTTCAGTGAATAAATATCAATGCTGCAATTAAAAACTTAAGTTGTAGTCACTTGCAAAAAAGTAATTTTGATTTTTGTTTAATTGCAATAATCCTCAAAATTTAATATTGAGTATATTCAGTTATTGTTTTATATATACTGAGGCCTTCTGAATTTCAAAAACTTAATCATTTTTTCTGCTGAGGAGGAAACCATGTCCCTGTTGTTATTTTACTTCCTTATTATAGTAGGGGTGTAACGATTCATATTCCTTGTGATTCGATTCTATTTCTATTCTTGCCTTTCGATTTCGATTGTTTTGATTTGATTATGTAAATGTTTCTTAATTGCATAATGTAAACAGCATGCAACCCTAAACCCCTAATTTTAGAATAGTAACAGGGACAGGTGTATTCACTGTCGCTTGTGCGTTTGTTGCCTTGTTTGGGAACCTGACAAAGAGTGTGTCGCACATGGCTTGCCTTATTTGGAAATTCTCAAGGCGCATGAACTGCAATCACCTTGCTCTTCAAAAAAACCCGCACATTTTAAAGAGTTCTGGATTCTGATTTAACAATGTTATAACTCAGTGAAGGCACCCTGGAAAGGGTATGCAAAAATCGAACCAAACTCAAAACGTAGAAGCAAAGAATCATGAATGGAACCGAACGGTCATAATCATGATTAATCGAGAATTTGATTAATCGTTACACCAATATTTTATAGGCTCTGAGAAATGAAGGTATTGGAATTTAATGTGACTTAAATTAGCACAAATTTAATTGGGAAACAACTTTAGAATAAAGAAAATTAAGATATCATTTCAAAATGGAGGACATTCACTAAGAAACAAAACTAATTATTGTTGGCTCATGGGCACCACAGGAATGAAGTACAGTTAATTATATAATTCAAATTGGGAGCTTGTTTTGTGCTACTTTCACAAATGTAGCAAGGGAGTCAAGTGAAGAAATCTGGCTTCTTTGAGGGTTCTTCCAATTTCACTGATACGTCTTTGTTAGGTATCAAGAATATCTAAAGTGTATCGAGAGTTTGGGACCAGAATACTTGAAATTAAGGTCGCAGAAATTAACGCTGTACTTAACTAATGTATGGCACAAAAATTAATGTGTATAAGAATTACTACAGGTAGATTGTTTTTTTGCAGACGTGCGAAACAGTTGTTTCTGCACAGAAACATATTTGAATTAACCCCACGTGATCTATCCCTGACGCCTGAAATGTAAGCACACGTGATCGCATTCCTTCACATTCCTGATAATTAAACGATGGTGGGCTTTTCCATAAACAAACAAGGAAGGTCTTATATCCGTGGTAAACACTCTAATTTATTCCTTACGATTCGTATGAGATCATCGAAGGTAGACACCTCATTTTTGTCTGCTGTAATTAGTTCAGATCGATTTTCCGGAAAAGAAATATTAATATAGAACACTAATTTAGCTGGATCATGCTGTATAATTTACTAAACGAAAGCGGATAAGCGACGATAGACAGCCAAAGTGCGAAGGAATGTTATCGCGTGCGTTTGCCTTTGGAGCTAACATCTCTTTCGACACGTGACAAAAAACAATCACCTTTTTTGCTAACTACAACTGTTACGTACGTCTGCGAAAAAACAGTCTACCTGTTTCAGTAGTAATGCAAATTTTTGAAATTCGCATTTATTTCAATCATTGCTGTCACAGTTCAACCCATCTTTGTGCCATTTGTCGCCATATTTCAGCTGTCTTATGTCGCTGTTTCCAGGCCATGTCTGTGTGGGAATTTTGCCCTAACATGGCCTCTATAATGGTTTGAATTTTTCCAGCTGGAAGACCCTTGTGATAGATGGTCATGATGTTGAAGAAGTCTGCAAAGCATTTTATGAAGCCGAAACAACAAAGGATCGTCCAACAGCTATTCTGGCAAAGACGTACAAAGGAAAAGGCGTTGAAGGTATGGTAATAAGCCATATGCACTAAGAGGTCATGCGACATCGTTTTTATGATGATGAAAGTTATATGATTTTGCCTTCAAAAAACGATTAGTGGCTCATATCTTAAACAAAATAATAGTGATTTGGTTTTTCAAACCCATACCATTTTCTTAAAATGAGTAATTTCATAGCTGGTCACGTGACCAAAATGTGATTTTTAAAACCATGACTTACTTCTTTCTGAACACAAGTTTTGCACTTAAACGTCAAGGAAAATAATTTTGAAAAGATGATGTGGTAACATTTAGAGCACATCTGTGTGTAACTATCAAACATCTAACAGGATATAAGCAAAAAGTAGTTTTTGCCACCATATTGGAGGGCAAGAGCATGCCTCCAACATGGCGGCCAATCATACTACTTTAATTTGTTGAAAAATGAAAGTGCCATAAAATATCTCCCTTGTATGTGTTTCCTCTCAAATTTCGGCTGTAAGATAATTTTTATGTGCTCTGGACATCAATTATTTGTGGCATCAGCAAGATTCCAACTCATTGTTTAAAGGAAGCATTAGTCACATGACCTCTTAGTGCAAATGGCCTATTGAAACTCTCCTCCCTTGGCACTTGCTGTTGGCCTATATATTGTAGTTGCAAAACAGGGTAAAGTTATCTGGCTCAGGTTACCCATTCCAAACTTTTGCCCCCACCTTTCCCTTAAGTCAAAGTTAAGCAGTCTGTCAAAGTGACAATGACTGTTTCATGAAGAGTTCATGCTTTAATGAGGTAATCCTTCAGGAGGTTCTGTCCTTTGCTCGCTGCCTCCTTAAGATGTTCTTCCACTTCAGGGTTCTTTTCACGATGTCCTTGAATCTTAGCTTAGGCCATCCTTGAGTTCTCTTTCCATCTCTTCCCCTTTGGTGACCCACAATCTTGTGTAGCTAGAAGCCTTTTAGCTTCTTTTCTTGGTGGGAATTGAGGATAAAAGTGTGGCGAAGGTTAGGTCACAGTCTTCAAGTGGTTGTAATTAATCCAGTGAAGTGGGTCAATAGATTTTGCTTCATAATGATTCTGTTTTTTTTTGTCAGAAACTTTGAAATAATTATATTTTGTATCTTTGTGCCATTTTATTGGTCAAATGTTTCTCAATATTATTTATGTCTATATTTGTAGATTCCTAGCCAGCCAAATTTATCCCAGTGGTACATGTAAATACATGTTTAGTCATCATTAGCAACAATAACAACATATTATCCATATATAACACCTCTAAAAAATTTTGGGGAACAATCTTTGGGGCAGAAAGCCCATATTTGTTTATTCCAGTAGACTGAAGACTCATTTATAGAGGGTTAGCGTGGACTTAAGGTAAATATATTCACAAATTCCAGTCAGAAGAAGACCTATGTACAACTGTGTATGTTGTGTAAACTCAAATTTGCACACCATGATCTTGCTGGTATTGGTGAATGTTTTACTTTAGCTCAAGGCTTACCCTGTACTAATAATTAAGTCTTCAGCACTAATTTATTTAGTGGCCACGACAGATTCGAAACTGGACTATTTCCAAGTGTTTTGTTAACCTGTTTTGTAGGCGTTGAAGATTTGGAAAATTATCACGGCAAAGCTCTTGGAGACAAAGGCAAAGAAGCTGTAGAGAAGCTGAAGGAAGGACTCTCCAATGTCAGACATAACCTGGGCCCGCAGCCAGTTGTTGATGATGCACCTGATGTGAATCTGTCACCTGGAACCATTAAACTGTCTGAACCACCAAGTTACAAAATAGGACAAAAGGTAATTAAGCCATTTATTTACAATACAATACAATACAATACAATACAATGTTCTTTATTTTGAGAGGGTAGATACATGATTAACCCAGTAAAGAGTTTTCTAACACATGGCCCTCTGTCCTTTGAAGAGGAAACTGGCAAAAATCCTCTCAGAAACAAGTAGTTTTATACAGTGGTGCTTCTCCAAACTTTCTTATTGATCATTGCATTTGCCAAGTATTTTTGTTTTGTTTTACTCATATGCCACTAAAACGCATTGCAGACATGATTGTTGAGCACGGATGCTATTTAGCGGAGTTAGTTATTCTGTTGATTCAATGTATGCAGAATAAAAATTTTATCTAGTGGTTTGAGCAGGGTTCTTATTGATTTTAAAGAAGACGTCAGAGGATGTAAAAGTAGGCGGCTTGGCAATAATTGATTGCTGAAGGCAATGTCAGGATTCACTCAGCTCTCACTACCCATTTTTCCTTTTTTTTTCTGGTTTTCTAGTTTTGGTCCTTGTTGTTAGCACCAAAATTTTTTTTTCTTGAGAATGCCGTAACATTGAGATTCCCGAGAAACAAAATAAACTGTTTCTGTAGTGACCAGTCTTTAAGTGATTTGTTGTGTAGCTGGAAATTCATGAAACGTTGCTTTAACTGCAGTGGTCAATCAACATTCGCGGCTAACAGTGCACTGTTACCCTCTTACGTCATAGATTTTTGCAATGTTGCCCGCTCAGAGGTTTTGCTGGGAAACAGTTTTATTGTTGGATATCATATAACCTCGAAGTAACCATTTGAGTGTGGGATGTCGGGAAGAAATTTCCAGCTATATAACAGTATAACACGGTTATGTAGTACTGTCAAACCTCCTGTAAGCAACCCGTAAGTGGATGCTTTTGGGAGATGGTTCCTTACAAGAATCCATTATTACTATGGGTCGATCTTTTGTGTGAAGGGGTGCAGACTCATCTACTTTAATATGGAAGATAACTTATTGTATGCAATTTTCATGTTGCAATATGATCAGCTCCATGCTATCACTGAAATTTCTAAGTATACTGTGAGCAGCATAGTAAATACAGTGAGCAAAGATATCAGGTATAAAAAAACAATAGAAAATTCTAAAAACCTTTGCTACCAAAAGTGGTCATTGACAAGAGTTTCCTGGGGGGGAGGGGACTTTCATATAAAAGAAACAGGGATGCTCATCTTCTCGCTTTGGGGTGTAACTTGCTGATTTTGGTCTCACTTTTGAAATAGATGTTCCCAACATTGTAAGCTGTGCTGCTAAAATTTTCAGCTGTGCGCTTAAAATTTTGGCAGTGTGCCTAAAAATTTACATCTTGTAGCAGAAGTGCTTAAGTTGTATCCAATGTCTTTACAGTGCGACTACTTGTACCGAGGCCACCCAGACCAAAATTTCAAAATTTCTTTACTGTTGGCTTTGATTCTGGCAAACCCAGACACTGTAAATTAAAAACAGTTTCAGGTTGATTTAGACAAACGTCAAAATTCCTTATTTTTTATATCCTTTAGAAAAATGGTTCACAATGTATGTGTATAAGTTGAACTGGCTCTGAGTACAAAATTATGCGCAATTCCATTGTTTAGATCTTGACTTGTGATTGGCTAATTTCAAAATTTGTCTCAAAATTTTGTCTGGGTGGCCTCGGTTTGTGTGGTTGACTGTTAGATTGTTTGAATGATTCTAGTGATTCAGAAAGGTAGAATCAGCTAGTACAGCAAATAACCCTTTATGTGTGCACTTTTTCAACATTCCAGGTTGCTGTGCGCAAGGCATATGCCAATGGTCTTATCAAACTGGGCAAGACTTGTGAGCGGGTTATTGCTCTGGATGGAGACACCAAGAACTCCACATACTCTTTGGATTACCGAAAGGCCTTCCCTGGAAGACACATTGAGTGTTTTGTAGCAGAGCAGAACATGGTGGGAGTGGCCATGGGTTGTGCTGCTCGGGGTCGTGCCATCACCTTCTCCAGCACATTTGCGGCATTCTTTACACGTACCTTTGATCACTTGAGAATGGCAGCAGTTTCACAGACCTCAGCTAACTTCTGTGGATCTCACTGTGGCGTTTCAATCGGTATGTTTCCTTAAAGTAAGAAAGATTTTTTCTGAAAAAAATTGTGATGGGCTTTCTTTTCCCATGGGTTTCTAGGGAAGTTTCTCATGTCTGGTACTCTTTATTACTCACTATAAGTGACTACAATACTTGTAGCCTGTTCACAGTCACTCTATTTTCTCTTCAAAGTTCATTAAAAAATAAAAACCGTGTGGAATTTATTGACCGCCAAAGGAAGGGGGTAGGGGTGGGGGAAGAGGAAAATAGATGGTCTTTATTTTTCTTTCTTGCGCTCTGCGCTTGTTCTTGCACGCTCGCCGATGTTTTCAAAAAGAACGAAAAGAAAAAATAAAACAATGTCTGTGTACAGGCTACAATACTTGTCACATTATGTCATCTCCAATATTGGTTCATGTATTATGGATTTGCAAATAAACAGGGCTCTCAACATTGGGGAAGAAGAGAAAAACTATACTCAGGGAAAAGTTAGACGACAAGTCAGTTGAGAAGGCGTGACATGAAAAATCCTCAGTTTCAGTTTAATGATTCAATGAAATTTGACAAGTATTGTTATGTCCCTGCGCAAACTGAAAGAATCTTGAATATATGGGTAGGCAGCAACATAATGTAGGGGCCAGTAACAGGCCAGCTTTCTATCCACGTCACCAACATTTTGGTTTAAAAATAGGTACAGTGAGCTCTTTTTATTGTGGACACCCAGTTAGTGGGTTAGTGTCGGCAACAGCAAAAGTAATAGTAGAAGTTCATTTCAGACAAAATCTGTAACTAATTTTTGCCCAGAATTTTGCCACTGTCCATATTATTGGGGCTCCTGTGCTAGCAAGGTTTGTGCAATGCAAGAGTTGACTGTGTGGGCTGACTGTGTGAACTGTTGTTGGCTTACATTAAGCTCTTCAAGAGCATTTTGTACCTCTTGGATTCCTGAGTGAGCTTAAATGCATGGGGATTGATTTCTGTGCTTGATAAATTATTTATCTAGGGCAGAGCTTTGAAATCAATTGAGACACTATGAAGATGTGTACATTGCATGGGGCACATTGTTGAGCTTCATTAAGTCTGGGGAAGGGGGGTACTCCCTTATATAAGCCATATAGGTATGTGCCGCCCCAAAAGGTAGGGTTCTTGTGCCATTTTGTTTGAAAATGGGTATAGACTTTGCCCATTTTGGCCTGGATCTGAGTACAGTTTTCGAGGGAGCTACAGTGGTGTATGAACATATTTGTCAGTGGTTCCAAATGAATAAGAAATAAACCCATAATATGCGAATTTGAAATGGATTTTTTAGAAATTTTCTTGTTGGCGTTCGGATCTCAGTAAACATGAATGTTGTTTAATGACCTCCTCCAGGTCTGAAAACGGGTATGGATTCTAGAAGCCAGGTCTGAAAACGTGTGAGGAAAATGACATTTTTTGGTCTGAAATAGGGTCAGGATTTGGAGAACTGGGCGGCACACCCCCAACTAGAATTCCCAGGAGTTGCCCCTCCCCCCCGGATTAGGTCACTTCCCTGTAAACTTACATTGTAGCATACTAACTTGAACTACAGTATTTTGGGTGACACTCTTGATCTAAATTAAGAAACACCCTGAGACAACATTAATGTACACCCTTGAACTGTATTGGGTTATACCCTTAACCTGGGGTACACCCTGGCATTCTTAAAATCATTCGCCGTCAACCTATTTAGAATCTAAGATAATACCTGCTTTTCAGGTTTTAATAAAATTATTGTATTTTAGTAACCATGTGGTAAAAAAAAAAAAAAGATTATGTCTGTCTTAATTGGTTCATGATCAGGTGTGGACGGGCCTTCTCAGATGGCTTTAGAGGACATTGGCATGTTCCGTTCCATTCCAAACTGTGTGGTGTTTTACCCAAGTGATGCTGTCTCGTGTGAACGCGCTGTTGAGCTCGCAGCTAACTACAAGGATATGACCTTCATCCGTGCTACTCGAGGAAATACACCTGTTATCTACGAGAATGATGAACAATTTGAGATTGGCAAAGCCAAGGTAAGAACGGAGAGATCATCTTTTGATGGGACAACCTTTGTATGTGGTCTCTCAGTAGCATTTTAAAAAACAATATTGAAGTTCAAGCAAGGCCTTGCACTACTGTCAAAAATTAAAAACTTAAAATAGTAGCTTTTGCCCATCAATGACATTATCAGGGAAAAGAGAACAAGGGGGTCAGTCCAGTTCAATTCTTGATCTGCGATGTCTGAAGGAGGTGAACGCCGTGAATGCCATTTTCTCAGTGTTTGACCCCTTCAGCAATAATTTCAATGCACTGGATTGTACAAGTAACGAAGTTTTGTGTTGCAGCTATAGACCTTAATGACGTTTTTGGTATAGGTAATAGGATGATTTGAAGTGATATTTGGCATAAATACGATGAGCGATATTTTGAAATTGTTGTACGTAATTTCACGAGCCGTTAGGCGAGTGAAATTTGAGACAATTTTGAAATACCACAAGTGGTATTTATGCCCAATATTACATAGAATTCATGCTATTATTTGATTATACTACAACCCGCAAAGGTTTTGTAATTTTCACCTGGACGTATTTCAAATTAAGCTGAAATACCACTGCTCTAAGTCAATCAAATTGCAGAAGTTTCTCATGTAGTAGTGTAATAGGGGTAACCAAGTGTTTGTCATCTTAGAAACTAATAAAGTATTGCACCTGCCAAATTTTGTAAACATGAGAATTTGAAAGAGAGCACTGCCATCACATGATCAAAATGCAGCAACAAAAGAACCAAGTGATAAAATTGTCTCAAAAAGTTATTCACCTTGCTGATTTACATTCTCCAAAGAAACAGAGAATTTTTTAAAACAATACCCTCTAACTTTCATAAAACAGCATGGTTTTATTTTACTTTTTGCTCATGTTATTGCTCTAAAACGAAGCAGAAACCAGTAAAAAACATTATGGAAAAGCCAGTCTGTCAAAAATAATAACTAATAAAATTATTAAATAACTAATAATAATAATAGTTCTTTTATTAATAGCAAAGCTGACTTTAAAATCCTATTACAATTAATTTTGCTTTAAAAAACTATTCAGTCAAAGCACTTTTTACTATTCCTTTTGATTGAATTTGTTTTGATTTAAAAAAAATTCATTCAATTAAAAAAGAATTACTGGAATTGAAAACAGTTCATATCAATTAAAAACAATGTTCTGGGGAAAACGTATTCTAGCTTAAAAAAGCAAATTAAATATAATAATAATAATAATAACAGTAATAGTAATAATAATAATAACTATTATTATTCATTCAAATTTTTCTCCATTTCTGATTGGGTAAAATCCCATGCATAATTCCATCATAAGCTATTGTCAACCAAACGTGGAAGAATTTTGCGATGTGTAAAAAATGATGTCAAAAGTGCAGCAAAATTGCCAGATTATTGAAATGTTAACCGAGAAGACCTGGGGACGAGGTTGTGACTAGTACATGGCAGAACATTTCACTTGTTTCAAGAGTAAGAAATAGGCAAACTATTTGCTAAAAGCATAGCAAGAACAGCAAAAGACAACTCAACACCTGCTGTTCACCTGAACAACCCTTTATTTCCTAAACTTGCCGATAAACATGCACTATTGACAATAAACTTAACATCAATGAAGGTAAGCATGCTTTAGCTTGTTTTTAAACTAGGAATTATTTTGAATGAATAATAAAACAATTATTGAATTTGGCTTTCGTATTATCTGAAGAATTATGGATATCGAGGAGGGTGTTATCTACTTCAGCCTACCTCCTCAGCAGATAATACCCTCCTTGATCTCCATAATTCTCCAGATGATACTCAGTCTCATTCAATAATTTGTAATGAATCTTCTATTAAGCCCCCTGGGGGGCTTATTTCCTAAACCACGTTTGAAGGGGGGACTTAATAGAGAGGGGGCTTATTTAATTTAGCAAAGATGATGGTCTAAATTCTCAATAAAAGCCAGAATGCAAAAGGCAGTTAAAGCTGAAGGTCATGCAGCAAAAAATGCTACTAGCAAATATAAACTTTCAGAATATGAATAAGCCATACCGGATCAGTCCTCATGAAGTGTTAGAGTTGTAATTGAAAAATACAGTCTATCATTTTTAAAAAAAGAGGGAAAAGGGGGGCTTAAAGACAAGGGGGGAGGGGGCGTAATAACTTTCTTCCCCAGCAAAGGGCGACTTATCAGAGAGGTACGGAATTTAACACCCTAAGCGCCACACACCTATCAGAAATTTAAGGGACTACATTCCCGGGCTTGAATCACTGATTGAGAGTCCTTTAGTGTTTTTTTCTATGCCAACACCTACCTCCTGGATAAGCTTAGCTTACAGCACTCGCTTTGTTGGCTGTAGATTGTTCGTGAGAGTGATGAAGATTCAGTACTAGTTATTGGAGCTGGTGTTACACTGATTGAAGCAATTGAAGCTGCTAAAGAACTTGAAAAGGAGGAAATCAACATTCGGGTCATGGATCTCTTCACCATGAAGCCAATTGACAAGGAAGCCATTATAAAGCATGCCAAGGATTGTGGTGGGAAAATACTCACTGTAGAGGATCATTATCCTGAAGGTATGTTATGTAGGTTTGTTAACCCTTTAAGCCCTAAGAGTGATCAACATCAAATTTCCCCTTGTAATATCAATGCTTTGTAAAACAGTGGTTATGAGATTTACGGACATGATCACACAAGATGAATTTGCTTGATATTTTATCAACTTCTTCCCACTTCTTCTGTACGAAATGAATAGGGGCAACAAATGAGAATTCAAAGTTTGATCTTAGGGTTTAAAGGGTTAAAGGGGCTTTGTCACGAGGAGGGTATTGACGGGTTGGGCGCGGGGGACCAGCGTGTTTTGGGAGTGTGGGGTGGGAAGGTGAGTACGAGAGATGGCGTTGGGGGTTGGGGGGGGGGGGGGGGGGGTCCCAGTACCTTTTAGAGTGGGGGGGGGGGGGGCTGGTCTCCAAAAATATTTTTTTTCAGTCCTTCTGGCCTCAGTTTGGTCTCAAAATAAGGCGGACCCCCTCCCGTGGATCCGCCACTGGAAGTCATAGGTCAACCACAAGAATGTACTGCTCAGTAGCTTTCATTTGAAAGGTTACACCTTACAGGTTTGTCCAGACTCAAAAGATGGAGTTACCTTGCTCAAGATAGCAAGGAGTACCACAGGAAAGCACTGCTCATCAGCTTTCATTTAAGGAGTCACACTTATTTTTTTGTCTTTTGCTTAGGTGGTCTTGGTGAGGCTGTTATTGCTGTTGTGGCAAAGGAGAAGGGGGTGATTGTGGAGACATTAGCCGTGAGAAAGATCCCGCGTAGTGGCCCAGGAGATGTTTTGATAGATCATTATGGGATTGGTGCCAAAACCATTGTCAAGACCGTCAAGAGCATGTGAAGGACATAGTCCTTGGATAACCATACATACACACTGTGCTGGTATTAAAGTTCAGTATCAAGCAAGATAAGACATTGCTTCCTATTCTCACTTAGCATATTATAGAAATTTTGGGCTTAGATTAGAAAAATGAAATTACTTGTCATGCATTAACCCAGGTAAACAGCATTAATTTTATGTTTTAGGAGTTATAATTGTTCATGGAGATTATCCTAAAACAGGTGTGCACCTTTTAACTTGTTGTAATAAAAATGTCAACAATAGTAAGAAACGCAAGAAAAATAAAATTCGTGTCCAATTAAACAATGAGATCACGTCATAATCTTTGCTTCCTACGCCTAGTCTAGGGTATAAAAACAACAAGAGGAAAAAGTCGAAAAATTGACATTTTTCCAAAGGGGTTAACCAATGGTTTTGGTCTAAAAATGGGCATTCCTGTTTTTATAGCCTAGAAAGGCGTTTTTTCGTTCTAGAATATCATAAAAGACATTTTCCTGGCCTATATTGCCTAAAAAAAAAACTTGGAAAAATGGCCATTTTTGGATCAAAACCATGGGTTAACCCCTTTGGAAAAATGTCAATTTTTCGACTTTTTGAACTTCTTGTTTTTATAGCCTAGAAAGGCGTTTTTTCGTTCTAGAATATCATAAAAGACATTTTTCTGGCCTATATTGCCTAAAAAAAAAAAGTTGGAAAAATGGCCATTTTTGGACCAAAACCATGGGTTAACCCCTTTGGAAAAATGTCAATTTTTCGACTTTTTGAACTTCTTGTTTTTATAGCTTAGAAAGGCGTTTTTTCGTTCTAGAATATCATAAAAGACATTTTCCTGGCCTATATTGCCTTAAAAAAAAAAGTTGGAAAAATGGCCATTTTTGGACCAAAACCATGGGTTAACCCCTTTGGAAAAATGTCAATTTTTCGACTTTTTGAACTTCTTGTTTTTATGGCTTAGAAAGGCGTTTTTTCGTTCTAGAATATCATAAAAGACATTTTCCTGGCCTATATTGCCTTAAAAAAAAAAGTTGGAAAAATGGCCATTTTTGGACCAAAACCATGGGTTAACCCCTTTGGAAAAATGTCAATTTTTCGACTTTTTGAACTTCTTGTTTTTATGGCTTAGAAAGGCGTTTTTTCGTTCTAGAATATCATAAAAGACATTTTCCTGGCCTATATTGCCTTAAAAAAAAAAGTTGGAAAAATGGCCATTTTTGGACCAAAACCATGGGTTAACCCCTTTGGAAAAATGTCAATTTTTCGACTTTTTGAACTTCTTGTTTTTATGGCTTAGAAAGGCGTTTTTTCGTTCTAGAATATCATAAAAGACATTTTCCTGGCCTATATTGCCTTAAAAAAAAAAGTTGGAAAAATGGCCATTTTTGGACCAAAACCATGGGTTAACCCCTTTGGAAAAATGTCAATTTTTCGACTTTTTGAACTTCTTGTTTTTATGGCTTAGAAAGGCGTTTTTTCGTTCTAGAATATCATAAAAGACATTTTCCTGGCCTATATTGCCTTAAAAAAAAAAGTTGGAAAAATGGCCATTTTTGGACCAAAACCATGGGTTAACCCCTTTGGAAAAATGTCAATTTTTCGACTTTTTGAACTTCTTGTTTTTATGGCTTAGAAAGGCGTTTTTTCGTTCTAGAATATCATAAAAGACATTTTCCTGGCCTATATTGCCTTAAAAAAAAAAGTTGGAAAAATGGCCATTTTTGGACCAAAACCATGGGTTAACCCCTTTGGAAAAATGTCAATTTTTCGACTTTTTGAACTTCTTGTTTTTATGGCTTAGAAAGGCGTTTTTTCGTTCTAGAATATCATAAAAGACATTTTCCTGGCCTATATTGCCTTAAAAAAAAAAGTTGGAAAAATGGCCATTTTTGGACCAAAACCATGGGTTAACCCCTTTGGAAAAATGTCAATTTTTCGACTTTTTGAACTTCTTGTTTTTATGGCTTAGAAAGGCGTTTTTTCGTTCTAGAATATCATAAAAGACATTTTCCTGGCCTATATTGCCTTAAAAAAAAAAGTTGGAAAAATGGCCATTTTTGGACCAAAACCATGGGTTAACCCCTTTGGAAAAATGTCAATTTTTCGACTTTTTGAACTTCTTGTTTTTATAGCCTAGAAAGGCGTTTTTTGGCTCTAGAATATCATAAAAGACATTTTTCTGGCCTATATTGCCTAAAAAGAAGAAGTTGGAAAAATGGCCATTTTTGGACCAAGACCATGGGTTAACCCCTTTGGAAAAATGTCAAGTTTTCGAATTTTTGAACTTCTTGTTTTTATAGCCTAGAAAGGCGTTTTTTTTCTCTAGAATATCATAAAAGACATTTTTCTGGCCTATATCGCGTAAAAAAAAAAGTTGGAAAAATGGCCATTTCTAGACCACAACCATGGGTTAACCCCTTTGGAAAAATGTCAATTTTTCGACTTTTTGAACTTCTTGTTTTTATAGCCTAGAAAGGCGTTCTTTCGTTCTAGAATATCATAAAAGACATTTTTCTGGCCTATATTGCCTAAAAAAAAAAGTTGGAAAAATGGGCAGTTTTGGACCAAAACAATGGGTTAACCCCTTTGGAAAAACCTCAATTTTTCGACTTTTTGAACTTCTTGTTCTTACAGCCAAGAAAAACGTTTTTTTCGTTACAGATTATCACAAAAAACATTTTTCTGGCCTATATTGCCTAAAAAAAAAAGTTGGAAAAATGGCCCTTTTTGGATCAAAACCATGGGTTAATCCCTTTGGAAAATTGTCAATTTTTCGACTTTTTGAACTTCTCGTTTTTATAGCCTACGAAGGCGTTTTTTTGGTTCTAGAATATCATAAAAGACATTTTCTTGGCCTTCATTGCCTAAATAAAAAGTTGGAAAAATGGCCATTTTTAAACCAAAACCATGGGTTAACCCCTTTGGAAAAATGTCAATTTTTCGACTTTTTGAACTTCTCGTTTTTATAGCCTACGAAGGCGTTTTTTTGGTTCTAGAATATCATAAAAGACATTTTCTGGGCCTTTATTGCCTAAAAAAAAAAGTTGGAAAAATTGCCATTTTTGGACCAAAACCATGGGTTAACCCCTTTGGAAAAATGTCAAGTTTTTGACTATTTGAACTTCTTAATTTTATAGCCTAGAAAAGCGTTTTTTCGCACTAGATTATTATAAAAGACATTTTCTGGCCTATATTGCTTAAAAAAAAAAAGTTGGAAAAATGGCCAGTTTTGGACCAAAACCATGGGTTAACCCCTTTAGAAAAATGTCAACTTTTCGTCTTCTTGAACTTCTTGTTTTTATAGCCTAGAAAGGCGTTTTTTGCCTCTAGAATATCGTAAAAGACATTTTTCTGGCCTATATCGCGTAAAAAAAAAAAAGTTGGAAAAATGGCCATTTTTGGACCAAGAGCATGGGAAAATGTCAATTTTTCGACTTTTTGAACTTCTTGTTTTTATGGCTTAGAAAGGCGTTTTTTCGTTCTAGAATATCATAAAAGACATTTTCCTGGCCTATATTGCCTAAAAAAGAAAGTTGGAAAAATGGCCATTTTTGGACCAAGACCATGGGTTAACCCCTTTGGAAAAATGTCAATTTTTCGACTTTTTGAACTTCTCGTTTTTATAGCCTACGAAGGCGTTTTTTCCTTCTAGAATATCATAAAAGACATTTTTCTGGCCTATATTGCCTAAAAAAAAAACTTGGAAAAATGGCCATTTTTAGACCACAACCATGGGTTAACCCCTTTGGAAAGATGCCAATTTTTCGACTTTTTAAACTTCTTGTTTTTATAGCCTAGAAAGGCGTTTTTTCGTTCTAGAATATCATAAAAGACATTTTTCTGGCCTATATTGCCTAAAAATGAAAAGTTGGAAAAACGGCCATTTTTTGATCAAAACCATGGGTTAACCCTTTTGGAAAAATGTCAATTTTTGTTACTTTTTTGAACTTCTTGTTTTTATAGCCTAGATAGGCGTTTTTGCGTTCTAGAATATTATAAAAAACATTTTTCTGGCCTATAATTTCTAAAGAAAAAAATTGGAAAAATGGCCATTTTTGGACCAAAACCATGGGTTAACTCTTGTGGAAAAATGTCAATTTTTGGACTTTTTAAACTTCTTGTTTTTATAGCGTAGAAAGACGATTTTTCGTTCTAGAATATCATAAAAGACATTTTCCTGGCCAATATTGCCTTAAAAAAAAAGTAGGAAAAATGGCCATTTTATGGAGGTATTACAAAGTGGGATGATTATTACAAATTGCGACACTGCAGGTTAACCCATGGTTTTGGTCCAAAAATGGCCATTTTTCCAACTTTTTTTTTAGGCAATATAGGCCAGGAAAATGTCTTTTACGATATTCTAGAACAAAAAAACGCCTTTCTAGGCTATAAAAGCAACAAGTTTAAAAAGTCGAAAAATTGACATTTTTCCAAAGGGGTTAACCCATGGTTTTGGTCCAAAAATGGGCATTTTTCCTATTTTTTTTTAAAGCAATATAGGTCAGAATAATGTCTTTTGCGATATTCTAGAACGAAAAAACGCCTTTCTAGGCTATAAAAGCAAGAAGTTTAAAAAGTCGAAAAATTGACATTTTTTTAAAAGGGGTTAACAAATGGTTTTGGTCCAAAAATGGGCATTTTTCCTATTTTTTTTTTAAGGAATATAGGTCAGAAAAATGTCTTTTACGATATTCTAGAAAGAAAAAACGCCTTTTTAGGGTAAAAAAGAAACAAGGAGTTTGTAAAGTCGAAAATTTGACATTTTTCCATAGCGGTTAAGCCCACGTTTTGGTCCGAAAATAGCAATTTTTCCAACTTTTTTTTAAGGCAATATAGCCTTGGATAGTGTCTTTTATGATATTTTAGAACGCAAAAACGCCTTTCTAGGCTAAAATAGAACAAGATCAAAATGTCGAAAAATTTAGAGTTTTCCAAAGGGGTTAACCCATGGTTTAAGTCAAAAAGCGGACATTTTTCCAATTTTTTTTTTAAGCAATATAGCCCAGGAAAATGTCTTTTATGATATTGTAGAACGAGAAAACGCCTTTCTAGGCTATAAATAAACCAAGTTAAAAACGTCGAAAAATTGACACTTCTCCAAAAAGGTTATTAACCCGTGGTTTTGGTCCAAAAATGGCCATTTATCAAACCTTTTTGTTTTTAGGCAATAAAGGCCAGGAAAATTTCTTTTAAGATATTCTAGAACGAAAAAACGCCTTTCTAGGCTATAAAAACAACAAGTTCA